TGAATTCACATGAATTCCTCCTCATTTTCCGCCGCGCGGAAATGGCATCCATTGTCAGGGCCAAGTGGCCGATTCTCTTAACTCGGACTTATGGCCACTTGGCCGCAATTAATGCCAGTGCCGCTTTCTTTTGAATATTAATGGGCGCATTAACCGCAAATTGCAGCCGAACTGCCATAATTGCACTCGTTAATTTGCAGCACGAAAAATATAGCACATGGTGAACAAATAAGTAAATTATGCCAGCAAGCCGAGCCAAATGTTTAATTAAATAGTTGTACTTAGTGCCGCAGGGTGAAGTTGACTACAAGAAAATCCTTTGAAGGACTAACAATATGCCTAACGAAACAATGCATTTTCCAAATTCGAACAATGCAATTATTTACTTAAATTGGGCAAGTACAGCTTATAAACGTGAATTGCGAAAATGTTTTATATTCGTGAAAAGCACAGGGAAATGTGGAAAAGCAGCCTGAGGGCGGAATAGTCAAATGGGACCGAGTGCATGGAAATGCAATGAAAAACAAGCCAATTGAGAACATGGCCAAATGTCAATTTTTGGCATATGGAATTGTGGAGCGGATTTAGGGGTCAGTGGCTCGTTTGGGCATCATCAAATGGAAATAGTAATTTATGGGGATTATTTATCTGCGTGCTTTGAAGGGGGAAAGTGGAAATTGGAAAATGGAAAATGGAATATGGAAAACGCAAGATGATTCTGTGTAAACAAGCAAATGTCAGTTTGCAGTCGTCGAGCTGTTGGTAATTTATTGTTGAATTGGGTTAGGCAAACGTTTGTACAGCTGAACTAATTTGCAAATTGCGTTTGTAAGTTCTGTGTTCTGTATTAATTGTAGTGAAATGCCAGTAACCTGAAGCCATTGCTTCTGTTTAACCAAACAGATCCCTTAAGTTCGGCCAATTTCCAGCTAATTGCCTTCTTTTCACTTGCATTTCGGGCCTTGCAAACTCCAGGGGAGCTCAGGAAAATCTGCAAAATTTCCTCATCCAATCGCAAATGGACAAGACTGTTCCTTTTCGGATGGAGCACAGAAACTACGCGCCACATTTTGTAAATTGAATTTTATCTGTCGAGATTTTTGCGGCGCGCTCAAATGTAATTGAAATAAATTCTCAATAGAATATCCGGCCAACGTTGGCGGAAGCTTATGGCAGGCAATGAAATTATTTGTTTGTTGTTCTGGCGGAGATGTAACGCTCTGCAAAATTCAAATCCGAAACCCAGGCGATTTCAAGACACTGAGCAATGGGCGAATTTCCGTTGCGGCAGGTCAAAGAGTTTGATTCGGAGGAGCGATTTTGGACAAATAAATAGGGCCAGGGTGTTTGAAAATTAAATGAAATACATGCCAGTCATAAAGCGGATTTTCACCAGAGCGCGGGAGGGAGACAGCGAGAGCGGAGCGACAGAGAAGGCGAACCGCTCAGCGAACTAAATGGCACGTTCATCATACGCCCCGTGTACACAATTTGGCAGCTTTATTTATATACCGCAGCATGAATGCTGTAGCATATACGCCAACACACTCGCCTTATGTTTTCACGCAAAACGTTTGCCTCTCAATTATATAAACAAATTTCGATTGTATTCAGTGCTCAGTGGCGGGGCCAGTGTGTGCATTAAAATTATAAATTGTTTGAACAGCCCAGGCGCAAATAAATAAAACACCAGCCAAAACGAAAGCGAAGCGCATAAATAACTGGCCAAATGTACTCGCACCTCGGCAGCTGTGGGCTTTTCCTCTTTTTCCGAAGGGAGGTGGGCGCACCTGGGAAAATCTCCTTGGGAACTGCAACAAGTGAATGGGGGCTAAGCGAGCGTCAAAGGCCAAGAGACGCCTGACATTGAAATGTCGTCTTGTTGTGTCACGCCTTTCACACACACACAGCCGTGCACTGGGAGAAACCGAGGGCGAGTGGCCCTAACAACAAGGTGGGCTATAACTAAGAAGCAACTCCTCTACAGCTCTCGATCTGGCTTAGTTCTGATTAGCCAGGGAACAGGCATAAAGTAGAGCCATTTTCCAAATAGTTTCCAGTGTACTCGCATACACATGTTCTGATTAGCCAGGGAATAGGCATAAAGTAGAGCCATTTTCCAAATAGTTTCCAGTGTACTCGCATACACATGGACACACACACTTGCAATGCACGTTTCAGTGGCTGCGAGTGAGATATTTGTTTGGACTTCGAGAGGCGCCGCCGCGTTGACAGCTGTCAATGAAAACGGGGTGAAGGGCGCAGGGATCTGTGGCGCTTCTGGTGGTGCGGTGGGTGGTGCGGTGGTGGGTGGTGGCATAGTGGGTGGTGCAGAGACAGCTGTCCCTGCGCTGATTAGCGCTGTGGCTAGCCGCATTTTGCGGAATGCGCTGGCAAATTCAAAACAATATAATATGCCAGCAAGCACAATAAAATCATAGGGAAAACCGCTGTGGTCGACGGTACCCAGCGGAATATCCTGGCTAATCGGGCGGAAAACTCCGAATGCCTTCCCCGAAAACATCCGCAACTAAATCCGTTCAGAGCTGAGCTGGCCCCGCACGGATTCCAATTAATATCCGCTCCATATTACGATGCCTAATCAAGGGAATCCTGGACGGGACAGCAGGACAATGGGCGTCGCTGGCCACAGGAAATTCCATTATCCCCGCCCGTCCCCAAGCTCCGTATGGGGACTCATGTACTCATGTATGGGTGAGCTGTCCGGTTATGTGAGTTTACGGCTTGTTGCACAAACTCACAAATTAGCATGCCCCATTTGATTGGAACGGCGGAGCTGAGCAAAGATTTGCTTAACTACATTCCAGTCGGTGGGAATAATATGGCAAAGTTGCTCGTTTTGGTGTTTATTAAATACTGCACTTCCATAATGTTTGCATTTAATGGGCCATAAGCAGATAATTTAATAATGCCACATTGTGTGTATTTGGTTTTGAGCCAGATTTTATTGAAATTAATTAATCAGTGCTAAAGCGGCTTCAGATTTCAAACAATATTTTATGCAATTCTATAACTACGCTAACACCCAGAGTTTTGAATCAAATTAGCGCCGTTTAATGAGCGAGTCAAATCAGGAAACAACAGTGAAATCAACTGTGAAATTTGTGACAGTTTTCCGCTTCGCCTCGCATTAAGGATAATGAAAAGGGTGGGGGTGGGCAAAGCGCCGCCGTATCTCCTACGACTTTATTTAACTAATTTTGCATTTTGAATGCAAACTCGACTTCGGTCACGTACCCCTGCGGCCGGAACTTTGACCTGTTAAGCGCATAAAAATGACAAAAACGGTACGTGACTCATTAGCCGCCTTCGCCCAGGAAAAGCCGCCGGGTGAAAGTCCACGGGGAAAGCGGGACCAGTTCACCAGTTTAGCAGTTCAGCAGTTCAGCAGTTCATGAGCTTCGGCAAGGAAACCGGACTTTGCCAGCGCAATTAGTTCGGTAAGCTGCTCGGGGCGGGTCACATACGATCCTGTGTGTAACATATGCCCCTCCTGGCAGGGCACATCCTTATCCCAATCCAGAGGATGAAACTCGTGCGTTTTCATTTCCATTTGGGGCCCATAAAAATGGGTAAACGGGAAAAGGCCGACAGACCGACCCAAAAAGAAGCAAATTGCAATGCAAATTTAATTTGGCTGCCATAAAGCTCGACGAAAGAAAAACGGGCTGTGTTTTGCTTTTTGCCCGGCGAGGGGGGAGGGGGCCAGACAGTCGTAAAACAGCAGCGGGAAAATCGAAGACTTTCCACGCGGCTGATGAGGGGGGGGGAGGGAAAACGCGTGGCCGCCGCGCCAAGCCGGAAATGCAATTTGTAGTTTTGTGCAACGATTTGTGGCAATTAATTGCTGCCCCACCACTTGCACCACCGAGCTGCACCACCCAACTTTCGCCCAGGGCGCGCCAGACCGCAAGACACGGAAACCTCAATATTTATTTTTTGTTCGCGTTTGCTCGATGTTTTTTTAGTCAGATACTTGGTTTTTTTTGCCTCTGCATTTGTTGGCGGCACAGAATTTATTGCATTTAATTTTTTTGCCATTTCTCTTCGAGTGTGGCGTTTTTTTGGCATCGCTCGGCATCGAGTATTTAAGTGATTTCTGCTTAATAATAATTTAATTCCCCGGTTTTTTATACGCCTTGCTGTTTGAAATCTTTTGTGATAATTTGCGCCGAAATCAAACAGCTGCAAAATTTGTATTTTTTGTTGGCTTTCCCCCGGCGACGTCGCCTATAGAAAGTGTGGCCGAACCAGATCTATACACCATATGTACATAGATACAATCGCCTATATGTCCGCCTATGTCGGTGCCCCAGTGTGTGTGATGTATAATATAGGGGAAGATTTATAATGTTCGTGGGACCGTATAAACAATTTGCTAAGACGCACATAGAGAAATGGCACTTGGTATAAATAATATAGCCAGAGTTCGCCATGTTTTGGCCAATTTCACAAGCGAAGTGATCAGTATGGCCGAAGATCCCTTCAGAACATGTGAATGATGATTGATAGTCTTTCAAAAGCCAACTATAGAGGAAATCGCGGCAATATTTTAGAAATGTATAAAATCGAAGCATCTCAGTATTTTTTACATTCGCAAAAATATGCGATGCTTTTATATTTTTCAATTATATTTTTCAAACAAGATGTTGTCTTGCGGAATATTCCCCCTCAGAAGCTTGGTAAACAATACTGAAATCGAAAATATTTTTAAAAAATTTCCAAGTTAAATAAATTTAAACGAAGTGTTCCTCAAGATGATTGCGAATATCCACTTAACATTAAGGCTTTTGGAAATAGTTTCCATCAGAAATTTCAGAAGCGTTTTTATAGCTTCCTGAACGGTTTTCATATTCAGAACGAATACATATTGTTATTCATGGCTATTCGAATTATGTCTGCACTCAGCACTCGCACCCCAAGTAAGTTAATGGATAATGGCGCCCTCTAGATGTATCCATAGGTCATAGTTCACTCACCTCAGTGATCTTCATGGTGCGCTTCACCGTCTTGCGGGTAACCTCGGTGGTTTCCTCCACGACATCGCCGTCCTCATCGATGGTCTCCGTGACCATTTTCTCGGTCTCGCCGGGAATCACCTCCTCGGTGTGCTCGGTGACCACGCTGGTCTTGCTCTCGGCATCGGGCTCGGGCTTGGTCTCCTCGGCGGAGCCACCGATAACATCCTCAATGTCCGACATTGTCACTGATTGATATCCTTTTCGATGGGAGTCGATGGGAGCTGATTCACTGGGCTGGTTGCTCTCTCGTCCTTGTGTTCACTTTCACTTGATCACTGATCACTGATCACAACAATAACACATAACACGCAGAATTGCTTGGGTTTTCTTCTTTCTTCTATCTTCTTTTCTTTATTTTTGCCTGAAAAAATACAAACGACCAGAGCTAGAAAAATGAATATTTTTTGTATATTCCGCTGGGCTCTTGGCAGCCGCTGGTTATTATATAAACAAGTGGAATTTCACGGCGCGCTGGTTCTTTAGTAACTTGTTTTCGACCCAATCACCGTATATTTGGGGCTATTGTGGATCCTTTGGGTTTACGCAGGTCTGGAGCCTTCGATCCTCTCGGGAAGTGCTCGACTATCGAACTGTAGCAACGTAACGTCGACCAGTGGCCACGAAAGGCGCGACAACAACGAAGAACGGAGAACGGATGACGGATGACGGAGAATTACGGAACAATGGGACTACGGAAGAATGGATGAACGGAACAATGGGACAACGGAACAACGTAGAGACGTGGTGACAAAAGCGGCGGAGGAGCGAAACAAGTTGAAAGATGGAGCACTATCGAAATCCCATCACATCACTTCAGCCTGTTTCGAAAACAAATCCGGAATAATTACGGAATAACGGAACGCACACGAGCCGAATTACACGATCACGGGTCTTCTACTTGCTGCCTCCGTCCTAGCTTCTTCTAATTCTTCTAGTTAGAATCTTCTGCCGTCCGCCACCGGAACCGACGCCGGAGAGCAGAGCGGGACGGCCTGAGTCCCGGAGGGTCTAGTGGGGCAGAGGCCGCCAACGGGCAGGCCACTGGTGCGAGCGGGACGGCCCGAGACAGCCGTCTTTCGGGCGACCAAGAGAAATTCTCCACGCTCTCTCCACTCTCCACTCTCCACTCTCACTCTCCGTTCTCTGCCGCTCTGCTGCCGCCGCTGACGTCTGCTCAATTTTGAACGTTGATCTTCGTCGCGTTTCAAAACTTTTGCTGCTGTCGTTCCGTTCTTTTCTACAATGTGTGCCTGTACACGGAGAGAAAATGCTGCCAGAACTGGACTTGCATTTAGAAAGCTTCTTGTGTGCGGTGAGCAAGTTTCTTTGACTATATTTCCTATGTTGCAATCACGTACAATTCTCCAAAGTGGAACACCTGGTTTTTCTCAGTGCAGTGTTTCTTTCATTCTTTGAGCCAATGTGAAATTCAAATGCGAATGAGTTCGCTCGCTAATTGTCCGCCTGTTGCAATTTCTTCGTTCGACCAGGCGAGTGCAATTAGTGCGGCTGCCGGACGTCTGAAATCCGTCAGAATGTGAAACTCCGCCGTGCAGTGCTAGCTCATATGGTCGGTGGTCCCCAAACTCCCCACACCCCACACCCCCACCTACTTTCCATACTCCCCGCCAGAGACCCACGCACTCTTCTCGTCAATGTGCGTGGAGCTATTTTGGGTGGATTTAACAATAGACAGCCAAAAGAGGCAGCCAAGGATGAAGATACTGAAACTGCGGACTTGAAGATACCTGAAAAAGAGATTTCACCTAAATTATAGAGCTATACATTAGCATTAAGTACACGACCTTGCAAAATGTACATGTGAGTAGTAACAAATATCTTATACCCTTGAATTTACATAGATTTGAAGGGATTTCATTAATCTATTGTTTCTTAATTCACTTTTCAGAGCCATTTCCCCATAAGCCCTTTGCTGTTTTCCCGCTTTTGGATCCACGTTTCGTTGTCCAACAAGCCCAGACATCCCTTCGATACCCTCTGTGCGCAAACAACTCTGAATCGGGTGGAATATATTGGGCTGATCCGGCTGGCCATTTGGCCGTGCGGCATTTGACGCCCTCTTTTCCTTTTTCATGCGCTTTTCTTGTTCCCATATTTTCTGTTCGCTTTGCCTTTTTCCTTTGGCGTGCCAGCGTTCGAGGTCCGAGTGGAGGCAGTGCATCACAGCCAGCGGGGCCTGTACAGGGTGCCTTGTGGCAGGGGCATCTGTCGGAAGCTGCCCATCTCAAGTGGGTTCACCTTCTGCCTTCTGTCTGCTGTCTTCTGTCTTCTGTCCGATTTCTGAATTCTGATTTCTGATTCTGCGCTGATTCCGATTCAGATTTCTGATTAGCGAACGCTTTCAATTGCTGGCGTTTGCTGGCATTCGGGGGCTTTAGTTTTGACAGCGATGTGCGGACTTCCTGTATGGCATCGCGGACTGCACAAGATATATGAAAGACAAGTGTTTCGAGTCCGCGGACCCCCGGTTTTCCCCGAAGCGCTGTGTAAACAAAGCGCCCAGCACACGCAAGAAGAATATTCTAAAATTAATTCTCGAAAATGTCTTTTCAGCTCGGCAAACGCAGCGACATGATGCGGGACAAATGCCTGAATATAGATACATCCAATGGATGTGTCTCTGATGAGCAAATGCAATTATGTGGCAGGGCAATGGGAGCTGGGTGGAGTTGAGGCTGCTGGGTAATGAATAGAGCCACGAAATAGAGCAACTCCTTCGAGTTCCCTCTCGACGGTCCTGCTCTGCATCTGTGTGTTTGCATGTGGAAAACCACACTGATGACAGACAAGCCACGGCAGAGAAAGCCAAAGGATAACATGAGATAACACACATCAAAAGCCACTCAGACACCCACACACGTACAGCAGGGGCTGGGAATATAGGACGGGTTGTGATTATCCTTGTTATCTACGAGGGAAATAGGGATAATGATTAATATGCCATCGTAATTATTGCGGTTTATTCATTTTCTCATTTGGAGCTGTATTTACATGTTTCTCTGATTGCCTTTTGAGATGTGACTGATATTATTCCTAAGTAAACTTAAAGTTAATAAAGCCACCGTTGCCAGTTGAGAGTGCTATCTTTTTGGAGTGTCCTGTGGATGCACGCATATGTGCGCCCAACCCAGCTGCTCGTGATCCTTTGGGCGACGAGAAATCAGCGCTCAAATATGATTAATAAGTAATTTCTTTGTCAACAAGTGACTGGGGATGGCCTGCAATGACGACAACGGCGATAACGACAACGAGAACGGAACGACGCCCTGGAAATCTTTAATAAAATACATGCATAAATAAATTATAGGGCAAACAGAGGAAGCAGGCGAGGAAAACAAACTGGGTGGACATGAACTGCTCTGAATGGAGGCGAACTGGTAATAAAACAAAGCGGCGACGGCGAAGATACACAGATACAAGATACAAAGGGGTGACATGTGCAACCGGGGCGTGACCGCACTTCCCATTTTCCGGGCTCATATACAGGAACCACTCCACGTTTGCTTTTCCCAGCCACTTTTCAGAGCTCCTTGGCCTTGGCGTTGCCCTGTGTTTTTCTCAGTTGTAAATTGCACAAAGTAAATGAAGTGCTTTTTATTATAAGCCAGCAAGCCACCGTTGCCTGTTCCCAGCAGTGAGAAAAATAGCAATCAAATATTAGGGTTTTAGATTAACAGAGATAGAGGTTGTCTGAAACATTAAAGCCTCATATTTTTCGATATACAATCAATGAACTCTGCAGTTATCAGTAAATAGGTATTGAATCGATGGTCGATTTTGAATATATTTTTCTTTGTGTACTCCTCCTATACCGCGCTTTTCCCGTTGCCTCGAGTTTTCTTTGAATGCGGCCCGCCTGCCAAGTGTCGTTGACTCTCGCTGACCTAGAGGGAAAATAAAACCAAGGGAAATGCCTTGCCAAGATTCATGTGTAGATGATTCTGGGAAATGAAGAAAGTTTCACTCTCGACATGCAAAAGCGGAAGGCCCGAAAACGATTTCTGTCAACTTCTGGAGAATTCCCATTGCCTGCCGTCCATTAATTGAGCTGTTGGAGGGCTGGCTGGGAAATTGAGGGAAAACCGGGCAAAAGCAGCTGGCAATCGACCAACGTAGGGTTCAGATTCGCCCGCACTCGACTTGTTTGACTTGCGATTTTCCCTCTAACTGAAGCGAAATGCAGTTAGCAGCAGCAGCAGCAGCCGGAAAGTGTAGAAAAAGACAAACAGCCGGATGGCTGGATGTGGGTGGTAATGGCTGCTTTAGGAATGCAATTCAGGGGAAACTAAAACGGAAACTGCACACACTGGGTATTCGCATAGCATACTTTTAGGTGCTGCTGGGCTGCAGGCAATGGAATGTCTCTAATCTGGTAGCCAACTACTGCAGCTACTGCAACTACTACTGGCATGCATAAATCTGCAGTGGCGAAGAATCTCTGGCCGGATTGTCTGCCCTGCACACCCGGCGAATGAGCAATTTCCCAGCAATTCTTTGGCCGTTGCCAATGTTTGCCCTCGCAAGCATGCTGCGGAAAATGTTCGCTTATCGGAATCCAAGTGGGTCTCAGCCCTCACCGCAAAGAGCACTGCAAGAAACTAGGCATAAGAAACTAGTTATTTACTAGTCACAATATTTCAAGGTATAATTTGACAGCTAAACATACGTTGCTTCCCCCACTTGGTTTGGTTCTAAGCATATTGATCTACTTTGTATACCTCTAAAATGTATTAACCATTTCTCCCAGTTGAAAGAAAGCTTAGAGTGGCTTCGCCCGAAAGAGTGGTGGGCGGGGGTGGGGCAGCTGCAACTGTTCTGGCCAAGAAGGTTTATCATCAACTGCACGCCGCAAGCTAAAAGAGTGGCTTGCGCTGGAATATTTGCTAAGTATTCCGCATTTGTATCTGTGCCAGTAGTCGTATCTGTATCTGTATCCGTATCTGTATCTGCAGCTTGCTGCGGGCTGTGGACAGTGAGCAGTCGAAGCGCAAATGGAAATAAATAGTTGCCCTGCTCTTTTGTCTAATTAAAACGTTTCATTTCGTTCCAGCTCCATTTGTTGACGTCACACGCACAGAGCACGTGTGTGTGTGTGTGTGTGTGTGGGCACACGCTGACTCTGAGATAGCAGGGCATATTGACTGGCTGGAACGGAAGGCCGCCATAGTCAGGTGCTCAAATTTCTGAATTCTATTTGAAATAAAATACCTTTAATCTCTGAGAAGCTTTCACAATACGCCTTGAAGGTAAACATGGAAAATGGAAGTTACTGAATCTCCAATTATTGGATATCTTTCAGTCGACAAGTTTGCCAATCGCTGTGCTGGTCCGTTCCCCCTTCTTCTCTGTGTGCGTGACGGACAAACGCACGGGCGCACTTTCCCACAAGCCCCCTTTCCCCCACTTTCCCCCACTTTCCCCCACTCGGCCCCCGGAAAAACGCACCGTTGTGGGCTGGCCAAATGGTTTCATCTTCATTTGGTTCTGGTCCTGGTCCTGTTTTTCTGGCCGGACATATGTACATGTGCCGAGTCCTGCTTCGCCATTATGATGATTTATGAACGGAAATCATTTTTCGCCCAGTGCGGCTTTTCTGGGTGGCCGAGGGGGTGGTGTTTGGTCTAGGCCTCCACTTGGAGGTCCTGCTACGCCCCGAAGTATGCAACAGTTTTCAATTTCGTTTCCGTTTGCTGCAAACTTTCGCTTCACACTCGGCTGGCTCTTTTAATTTGAAAACCAATGCTGCTCTGGCTTTTCTGGCTCTGGATTTTCAGTTCGGACTCGCAGTCGTTCGCAGTTCGATTTGACTTCATTTGGGGAAAAAGTTTTGCCGACCAGCTGGCCGCAGATTGATGAGTTTTCTTTTTCGGGTGGCGCATTAATTTCCCTTTAACAAATTCAGCAAACTTTCTTCTGCACTGGGCAGCTGAACGTGTTTGGCTCAGTCCGTGGTATGCAACAAGTGGCCATGGCTTGCTGATTTATGGTGCGATTGGTTTTTATAGCAGAAGCTCGATTTCCAAAGCTTTTTGAATGGGCTTTTAGGCGGGTTGCATTTGTGCGGACAGCAACCAGCCAACACATCTTTAGTGCTTAAAGTGCAGTTATTAGGGTTAGGAAAATGTATGCCCTATGTAAAAAACCACTATTCTTTTTGAGTTGGTCTATACCCCGTTTAAGTGTTTTAGATACGATATGTTGCAATTGGATTTTTGTTTATCTCTTACTTCCGCAGTGGCATAACCATGATGATTCAGCGCTGCAAACGGGTAAACCTTCGAGCAAGTTGTGGGATTCCCCGCGGTTCCAAGAAAGATGTATCTTGAAAACCCCGCTTGAAAAGCTCGAAAAGCGCGGCTCGTTCTGGGATTGGGAGGCTGCGGCGCTTTTGAGAGAAAACTTTCCCCGTCTCCAAGCTCATCCAAGCCAATCCGAGTGGAAAACGAGCGAAGCGGGTTTCGTGATGTGGCGATACCATCAGTTCGACTTTCGACGCGCTGCCAGAAACACCGTGAGCACCGCTTAACCAAAGTATATATCTCAGAAATACATATTATATATGCTGACTCCCAGAGAGTGGGAGTAACTCAAAAAAATAATAGTAAAAAACAGAACGAAAGAACTGAGAGTGTTCTAGTGCCAGTCAAGTTAATGTTTAGTGCATTTGATTTTGAGCGGGCTGCAATAAATAAACAACGTTTTTCACACCGTTAACACAAAGTTGAGGCTCTAGAAAAACAACAAGTGAAAGTGCTTCAAGCAACCGCAGCAAAACAAACGAAAAACCCAAGCTCAAAACCAAAACAAAACCAGATCTTTCAGCTGATTACTTGGCGATTTCGTTTTTGTGCATTTGTGATTAACTTATTTTTAGCAGCTAATTGTTCCAAATCGAAGGTCACGCAATCGCCTTCGTTTGCCCTAATTAAGATTCAGCTGGAATTTAACTCAGCTACCAATTTATTGTCGATCTCCCGGGGAAAGAAGAAAAGAAGTGTAATTATTTTAACAAAACTGTTGTTAGGAATGCAATCTACTATTTGTTGACTGTTTGTACTAAAGTACAAAGTAGCTTAAGTAGCAGCCATGTATCTTCTTTAAAAGATATTTTATTAATTGCCGTCCCTGAACTTGGACCACTTCCTTCCGATACAGAAAAATATACATAAATTCCCGACCGATCCCAGGAATATCTGACGCAATGAGCGCCGTGGATGCCATAATCAATTACAAGCGCAGTCCCAACGAGGACTTCTACGGTCTGCTCCACTGCGATGAGAACTCATCGGTAAGTTGCCACCAACCTATCCTGCCACTATGTTGTATCTATGTATCTGCGCACCCCACTTCAGTGCACCTTTGCTCGACATGTTGCCACCAACTTTGCTTTTCAGGGCAGCCAAACTCGGCTCATCAAACTTTTCCTTCGAATTTAATTAGGGACTAATCGAATTGTGGCTTTCAAAAGTGCGACTAATCGAATTGGGGCCCGTAGTTCGGACCAGTTTTGAGATGCGGTGGCTTAATTGAATAGCTTTCATAAGCCTTAAAGTCAAATTCCTTATTAAATGCTCGTGCAGGCAATGCAAGCCTTCGCATGAAATCATCTATGAAATCAGATACAGTTCGTGTGGCGTCTCGGCACTGAGAGAAACAGAGCAGCAATGTAAGCAATATACCATAAAACAATACCATGCGCCAATGTGGGCTCTGCGAGTGCTCACATCTATTTTCTCGCAGTGTGCGCCGAAGGCAAGAGGTTTGCTTTGAGAATTAGTTTCAATTACTCAGTCAGCCATCGTAGATTGGCAGAATTGGCGTTGATCCGCCGCCGCCGCCGCCGCCGCAGCAAATGCAGTTCGAGCATCGAGTGCAGCTTGAGTCACAGGTCCAGAGATCCAGGGCTCAGCATCCTGCCAAAGTTAGGAGCCCATCTAAGCCAGCCGATTGTGGCTGTGCCAACTGCTGTCTGAACAGAATTAACGAGCTCGGTTTTGGCAGGCCATCTCGGGCGGCTTAATGGCATTTACCCATCGGCAGACTCGACTCCACAGCCCTGACATTCATCCTGAGCTGTCACATTTTCTGGCCCAGTTGTTGCCTTTCAGCGAAAGGTGCCAGAACGCTGGCTCTAATCAAATTTATTGGCCCAGAAAATACCGAGGCCAGGGAACCACACGCTTTTTGCGAGCTGTCGATTGCATCAGGCAGAGTGGGAATGGAATCGATTGAATTATGCAGAGGCTCCCTGGAATCGATTTGGCTGAGCATGTAAACAAAATCAAATATTTGTAGAGGGCTGGGAGCGAATCGGAGGAGCTGGGGCACTAAGCATTCTGGCCCGGCCCTTATCACGTAGCCCTAGATTTGCCACTGACCCCTGACCCTCTGCCATTGTTTGGCAAACCATCTCTATCTGCATCTCCATCGCCTAGTATCTATGCTGGCCGACAATTATCTCGACTTGGCGCCCATTTCCCACTTAAGAATGCAGCCCATCCATTCTCATGCAGATTAGTCTGTAGGAATTTGCATACGCAAGCCAAACAATCCTCCAACCAGAGCTCCACAAACTTGAATTGTTTTCAGGGCTAATTTGCAGAGGAGATCGGCAAGCGATTCTGGCCATTTTAATTGGCCGGGTGCAATCTGATGGGGGAATTAATCAAGTGGAAATTGAAATTGGTTCTGTTGATTGCGGTGACAATTTATTGGCTTGCAGGGCATTAATTGGGGCCATTCGATTGTGTAACACGAGGTGAAGTGCGAAGTGCTAACTTTCCCCTGCTTTCCCAGTCCATTGAAGCAATCCACAAGGCAGAAGCTCGAAATTCACCGAAAGTCTTTAGAACAGACTGCATTTGTCTAATTATAGAAGGCCCAAGGCTGCGGCTGCTTTGAGCACGTACAATCTGGCGTATGCGCAATATTAATTGCGCTGAAATTAATCATACGCACCGTTGCAGCGCAAATGGAGCTCAGCGCACTGCCTGCAAGTAATCCACCTTCTGCAGCTGGAAGAGAAAACATCTATGCAAGCCATCAGTTCTGTCAACATCATGGGCACACATATATTTTTCGAATGCCATGGTGACCTAAATACATTTGCTCTATGGCAGCTGCTTTTTGACGTTTCCCCCGCAAACAATAGACTCGAACCCGAATGGAATAAAAAGGGACCCATGCTGGTCATTCTCATCTCTTTTCTGTGCGGCTGCCTTCGTCCTTTGTGCGCCGCCCGATGGAGCGCGAAAAGCCATTTCCATTTACAAGACAATAAACAAGCAGCTTTGTGCGCTGAACACTGCGCGAAAAGTGTGTATTTTCGGGCCATCTCTGGCTGCCGTTGATGAAGTGGCGGCACTTGAATTTCAGTTTGAGGAAACTGTCAGTCAGTCAGTTAGTAAATTGTTTCAGTGCCAAGAAGCCCACTGTCATCATTTTTACTTCTGGTCCCGAGGAAAGCGAGTATCAGATCATCGTTGGTAGCTGTCAACTTGTTGCTCTTGGCCGAAAGAGACTTGCGCTTAATTAATAACAATTGTTTGCCAAGTGTCAAAAGCCTTGCGCCGGAGTCAAGGACACTGACAAGTGAATTAATTTGGCAGCAGCTTTCAAACCCTCAAAGTTTTCCGCCTCTGCCCGCAATCCGTTCGCTTTTCTTGCTGCAAGTGCGTAGTTTTCCCAACCCGCCGCAGTAATGGCCAAAAGCGACAGCTTTTCTATTACTTTAAGTGGTGCTTAGCTGCGCACGAACATTTTGCTCGTCAAGTTTTAATGTTTGCTTATTGTTGTTTCGTTATTCGGTGGTTGGATGGCTGCGGATGGGTCTGATCCCCTCTTTCTGCGGGGGATTGTCTGCCAGTGACAGCTTACCTGAGCTCCAGAGTCCTGAGCTCCTGAGCTGCGGTCTCCTTGGCAATCTGTATGCCGCAGGAGACGTTCACATATCACTTGTGTCCCTGGCTGCCCTGCCCTTATGTAAAGTGTGATACACACAATTTGTATTTTAAAAATGTGTGCCACAAAATACTTAGTTAATTTGCATCGACGCAATCACTTAGCTCGCCCGACTAATTTTGCCGCCCGTTTTCCTTTGCAGCCCGAGCAGATCCAGGCCGAGTACAAGGTCCTGGCCCTCCAGTACCATCCCGACAAGAACTCCGGCGACAAGGAGGCGGAGGCCAAGTTCCAGCAGTTGAAGGTAGGTGAACGGCGAAAGAAAACACGGCAAAAGATCCAAGGGATCCCAGGGAAAGCGCCCGAAATAAAGAAAATGGCAAGCGCTTCGGAATTTTACATATTTAATGAAGTTTTTGGGGGGCGGCGACTGGGGGATTGTGAATTTGACAGCCTGTGGGGCAATATGTTCGAGATAAAAGTTGCCAGCGCGAGCTTAAAATTAAAAGACGTTTAAACCCGATACTTATTATGCTTCAGCATCCTGGCAGCCGGCGAGTACTTCGAACGTATTCGGATACCCCAGGCGGAATTTATCCAAAATATATCTCTGATATGGGAGAACTCAGGGGGCAATTATCGAAGCCACACAATTGCTTTTGGAATATAAGAATTTCCAGCGATTTACATTTCAAATTGAAGCGTTTCTGAAAGCGAAATCCTGTACTTTCCTAAAAACATTTTAGCGAAATTTAAAATTAAAATAAAGTACTGGTAGCATCAAGCAAACTGGACTAGAAAAACAAAAGCCACGTCTTTGTACATTGATACTTAAGACAGTTTCAAGAAATTCGCAGAATTCGAATATAAATGAAAATGCTGAACTTCTCGGAACTTGGCGGACTTTTAAAGCCGCACAAAAGGCTCGAGTTCAGTTGGGAACTTTCTGTTTCTGATCTCGATAAATGGCTGGAGTCTGTGGGTGGCATTTTCCAACCCACTGATAGTTTTCCCTTGATAGTTTCCTTAATTAGCTGGCCTCCCACGCAACCGAACGCGTCTATTCAAAGTCGTGTCTGTCAGTGGGCGAAAGTTTAAGCTGTATTAAACAATGGCTGCCCTTTGCACTCGCACTCGCACACACATGCACTTAACCCACTTACACACAGGCACACTATTCAGTGGCACCAACACTCACACACACACACACACACACTCACACACAGCGCGGCCTCAAATTGAATTTTCCAGGCTACAAAAGAAAAACAAGGCGGCAACGATGAGATAAAATAAATTACCCATACAAAATATATTTTTTGAAAACGGTTATTGATTTTCCTCATCAAAGGACAAAAGGGCGGTCGGGGGAGAAAGGGGCGTGTCGGAACCTGACAACTCATTAACGTGTGGCTAAAAACGAAATGAAATTGATGTCAAGGGGAAAAGTGTGGGATGCCTAAGGTAAAAACAAGGCTTTTTGATGGGGGATGATGGCTTTTGTGGAGTGGAAAACATGAAAATAAAATTAGATTTCATCAGATTATGTAGCTGAATTTATAATAATTGGGAGCAAGTAGAAGGGTGGGAAATACTATATTTTCCACAGGTATAATTAGTTTTAATTAGTTTCTGGCATTAAAGTTCAACCAGCAGCGGTTTTCGCACCGCGAAGCTGGCTTTTTAATTAGATATTTGTAGCATTGCATTTCAATGAGCACAGAACGCTTCCAGGGGCATTCAGTAGTGGGTTAAGACCCTAATTGAGTTTCTGCAGCTCCCTACAGCTTGCTGAAGCATTACAATTTCCCATTCCCGGCGAACACCAAGTTTTAGCACACAAAAATAACAAAGGACCAAATTAAGGCGCCAATATCCACGAGGGTCCTTGGACTGGGCAACTCCCTGCCGAGTCGTAATAATACTTATGGCTGTTCGGAAGCTCCGCCGCGCTGTCCGGCGGAAAGGAATGCGCCGTACAATTTACGGCTCGTAATATGGAACGTGCATGTGTGCGGAGCTCGTAAATATGTCAGGATATGCTGGAGGACTCACCTTTATGGCTGGCCATAAAACAGATGCCGTGTGTGTGGGCCCATGAAGCGTTTAAATGAAATGCTGCGATTTTCATGGCCGCGCTTCCTAGGCGAATTTCGGAAGCAGTATGCAAATGAGCCAGGACTTCATCAACTTGCAACACAAGCTGTTCCGACAAAGGATAAGCAAGCCCGCAAGGATGAAGGTGGATCGGATTCTGGTCATGTGCAGATAAGCCGCTTCCAACTGCTAATTGCCGTTTTGAAGCTCCGAATGATTACCATGAAAAACGATTGCCCTAATTGCAGACAAACAGGCCAGTCGCCTCCAGGTTATCCAGCTCCTGTGGCGCCGCGGGAATGGGAGACTCGAGCCTTGTTTGCTGACCCACATAATCAGTGGCTAGTGAAATAATTGATTATCATGTAAACAGCGCCCCAAAAGCCGCCGGTACAATAAAACAGCAGGCCAGTGATGAAATCTCAGAGCCTCAATTGAGCATGTGTGCAAGTGGACGTCTGTCTATCTGGGTATCTGCACTGAGATAAAAATATACGTGGCTGTAGTAGTCTCAAAAACACTGATAACAGTCGTGTCCGCAAGTATGCAACATCCCAAGGATACCTCAATGTCCGTGAAAATTATGAAGTTTCTTATACATGTAAAACATATATCATATATGACATATTTTGAAGTGATCCCCAGTTTTTTTGCTAGCATGCCCATTATGCACATAAGCGAATTAAATACATTCAAATATAAGTGTACCATTTTGTGTGCTTGCACACTCGGAGCGCGTCGGTGTCTACCGTTGTGGCCATAGGTGTATGTTGGGCCTGCTCGGAAAAGTAGTCAAGATACATATCGAGGACCAGCCGAGGCTATCAAAATCACTTGAGCGTGCAAATGTGTGAAAGCCTCTCCGCAGATGAGAGTGTGTGAGTGCGGGTATTCCCCGCGTGGCTGTGTGCGTGCGTGTGTGTGTGGCAGCGCCAATAAGTGTGCTATAGTGGGCATATGAAATTGATTAACATGCAGGAGACACAACCAAGGCGGAAAATGATGGGTTGGCAGCCGAAACCTGTGCAGCTGTTGATTTTGCACTTGAGCAAATCCGAGTCCTGACTTTCAGGGGGCGTGGCAGTTGTGTGGGTTGCTGGTGCCCCTTTCAAGTTTGGTTTCGAGCAAAATACATTATGGCTTGTTTTTCCTACACATTTCGTGCTGCAGAATGAGAAATTTCAGTGAATCTGTGCGGCAGATTATTCATGTAAGGAAATTTCCAATTTCGAGAACAACAAATTCCAATGAAATGCCAAAGACAAGGTTATTGGAATGGGCTTACAAGATATTAGAGTGCTCTTGCTGAATTCCTTTCTTGCCTGATTGTTTTACCAATGTCCGCAGTTAGGAATATCAATAAACTGCATTTAAATGTACAACTCAGGAGTTGGGTTCCTATTTGTTCAACAATAAGCATTGAATTGAATAAACTTTCCTTGATTTGTGCGGAAAGTTTGAGAGAATGGTCGAGGGAAATGTATAACTAGGGATATGTTGAAGTCATATATTAATAAATTGTTGTAGTCCCCTAAAATGTGACTCCTGTTTACTTTCGCAGGAGGCCAAGGAAACCTTGTGCGATCCCGAAAAGCGGGCCATTTACGACAAGTGGCGCAACAGCGGCATCTCGATGAGCTACAAACAGTGGCTGGGCATGAAGGAGCATGTCGGTCAGGTGAGAAGATACACGATTGCCGAGAAAGTGGATAAAGAGGTATGCGTTATGGGCCAGGAACTCAGCGAACCAGAGAAGTAGTCGCCCCGTCTCCCTCACTCTGTCCAGCCCCCTCACTCCCTCTAGAGTCGTCCTTGTGTCCCGCTGCACTGCGTCAACGCTGGCCTTGCTCTCAGCATTTCCTTTCGTTGGTTTGTTTGCCGAGCTCGTAATGAAATTTGTAAGCCAAGCCGGAGTTCATTTTTGCTGTAGCACAATTAACGCGATTATTCATTACCCACCCGAAAGCCGCCCACTTCCACCCACGTCCACCCACTTTCCCGCCCACCAGGCTCTATGGTAATTTCCGCTGGCGAGCGAAGCGGAAATTGTCGTCATCCATCAGCGGCTGACATTGTCCGGTTCTGAAAAGGCGGCGGTGCTTTTGGCCCAAATCCGCATTTGCAATTCTAATTTTCAGCTCGGACACCTAGCAGAAACTTCAGGACGAAACGCTTTCCAAACGGAAAGAGTCCCTTGAATTCTATAAAGTTCCAGGGGGAAATAAACAATACAAATTTCATTCAAGGTAGTTCATTATGAAGGGGGCCTTCTTTTGTTTCAACTTTTGTCTTGTAATTAAAATTTGTCATTGTCTCCTAATATCCTTAAAAGTTTCATGCCTTGGAACTTACTTCTTGGGAAACAACGTGACCTTCTTCAATTTGTTTTGAATATTTATTTCACCTTTCACCCCAGCATCGACGTTTAAATGAAAAATTATTACATTAAACTCCTTATTTGTTTGGTATTTGCCATTTCCCCAACTCTCTGTGATATCTAGATGTGTACAATTCCAAATAGAACCCCTCTCCCCCGAATTTCTCCATGTCTCTCTATAAGCCCGCTCCTGAGTGCCCGATGAAATCCACCGAATGCGAACCTATCTTCAATGTGCCTCTTCATCCAACTCTGTGTGTGTTGCATGCGAAGTGGAGAGGACCAATGCACCGAAGCTGAAGAAGCAAGGTGGCTTGGTCCTCGGCCGAAACCGCGGGAATTTTATCTAATTAAATGCCTTTGTACCTCCACCACGCTCCGCCAACCAAACAAAAGTCCATGCACTGGGTCACCCCCAAGACCAAGGACCGCATGCTGCCGGAGACCGGAGGAGCAGCTGCCCAGGCACCTGGATCCGGATCCGGGGCAGGATGCAGCAGCGGAGGCCTGACCGCAGCCTCCCCCAACCCCGCCCACCGGCGGGCCTCGGAGGGCGGGGCGGCCTTGTACTACGGCAGTCGCAAGGGCGAGTGGGGCGGCGAGAACACCGATGTGGCCAACAAGTTCCGCAACTACGAGATCTAGGATGCGCGTCGCCCACAGATACAAGTTTCAATTTAAAAATATTTCAAGTCAAGCCGAGCGGGAGGCGAAAGTTATGCAATTATATCAAAATATTCTGAAGAGGGAAACAAAGTTTATTATCGATGTGTAACTTAAGTGTTGCGAACTACAGATTACAGAGCACAGATACTCTTATATAGATGTTTATAGGTGTACAAAAATATATATAGAAAAATGGTAATTAACTAACGTATCTCTAAGTGAAAGAAACTGTAATTTCAATAAACTCCCCCGATGAAAAATCCCAGGCGGAGCGGCAAGAATTTAAGTTGAAGTAATTAGTCAAATTTTATCGCAGTCAAGCATATAAATATACACACCATATACTATATATATTTATGTAATCAGTGTATTTGTATATCGATGTTTCAAAGTACCATGAATGTACCCCCAAGACAATCCCTTGGCAGCAAACAAAACTAAACTAAAGCGAAAGCTGAAGCTAAAGCTGTAACTAAACTAAACTATTACTAACCTAGTGACAGTCTAGCGATTTACCCACCACGAGCCAGAAAATGAGAACATACTGAAAGACATGGTAAAGCGAATTTAAACCTTTATACACACGACACATTTGCATAGTCAAAAAAAGTACATATATTATATCTCACTCGGTGTCCTTTTTAACTGCAACATTGCGAAAAGCCCCAATGAACTGTTTTCCCTACCTGAAAAATCATTTTCGCAGAAAAACTACAAAAAAACGTGACAAAATATCAAAGAAAAATCAAAAAAAAATGTGCAGAGAAATTTATATAAATGTTTTGATGGATAGAGCGGTGAACTTTTCAACTTATACAGCTAGCAGAGATTATTGTCATTATTATTGTACTATTACGCGCAGCGCAGAGAAATAATTACTACATAAATGTTGTTGCTGGATTTAAATGCATTACTTATACAACTACATATGCAGATCGTTTTAAGACATACTCTATTGAATTTATTCAAATACACACATATTGCGGATGGAGCAGACCAGACCCAGATCAGATCGGAACAGAAAGGAACGGACGGAACAGCTGCAAGCCAAAGGCACGACCCCGCGACCCCCGACCCCTTAGAAGGGGCGGTGGGCGGGGCTCCAGCTAGTACTAGCAATTACACATTAATTAGTGTTGGTTCTGACTTAGCTGGCGAATGTTACACGCAGCGAGCGAACAGATCACAAATAAAGCAACTTTTTGAAAGGGGTTCCCACTCCTGGCGGAACCTCAGGTATTCAATCACGTGTGTTTATTGGGCGGCATTTGGATTTGGAATTGGAATTGCAGGGCAAGTAAGTACACTAATATACTTAGTCTAGAACTCGGTTCTCTAAAGCTTGACTGGATTTCTGGATTTAAGTTATTGACTGCGTTATCTAGCAGCTGCCTCCGCCTCATTTCGCTTGCTTAACTCCAAAATCAGCGCGTAGCTGGCCAACGAGTCATCCCACAGCTCACAGGGTCGCCGATCGGATTGGTCAAACTCACGGATCCAGCGATTTTGAACTGTGAGGTTGAATGGTTTTAAAAAGATACAGCTTGCACGTGCCAGATATCCGGAAGCTTACCCCACTTGGAGCCCGCGATGATGGGACACGCGCCATGTTGTGTTCTCACATCGCCCACTCCAGAAGCATGGAGATTATGCCAGAAAGCGGCTAAATGTTGGGCTTTTAAAGATTGCTTAAAAATATAATATATTTCAGCGTATACCTGCATATTTCTTTGGCTTCAGTAGGGTTCTTAGCTGCGGAAACGCGGTGCCTCCACCTTGGGAAACATCCGACAGCTGTAGATGGTGCAATGTTAATCAAACTTCTTTAGAATTCAGATTACTTACATAAAAAAGCACTGTGGCGATGCGGTTGCCCATTTCGGGAGAGGAGACCAGTCCGGCATCAAACTGTTGGACAAGCCAAATAAACATCCACATCCAATATACATAAGCCAACTCACGGTCGTCTGGTAGAACCAGTCCATGTGCTGGCCGTAGTGTCCTCCGATTCCGTAGTTGGCGAACTGGTGATCCTCCGCGTACTTCATGTTCAAGTTGGTCATGTCCGCTACTCTCTGATCGATGGTAGACAGCACCTTGTGCGCCGAGGCGGGGATGAAGGTGAACTGGCTGGTCCTCACATTGGACACCAGTGATTCATTGTGGCCCGTCACCGTGGCCCGCATCAGCCTGTTCTCGGTCAGCTTCCGTATGACATCGATCTCGCTCTGGTATATGACATCGTGGTAGAGGACGAGCAGGGGATCCTGGAAGAGCTCCTCCGCCTTGAGAGGAGCTATCCACAGGAAGGGGTGCGTCTCGGTCACATAGCCGCAGCGCAGATGGCTTTGTTCCTTGGGAGTGAGTCGCCAGTGGCCACTGCAGGTTAGGCTGTAGGCCTGGAACTCGCCCACCGGTTCACCCTCCTCCGGAATGGGCTAGAGTGAAAACATTTGATAATTACAAACCTAAATGTAAGACGAGGCACTTACAGCATGTTCTAGGATGGGTTTGGATTCGTTTAATAATGCCCTCGCACCGAGCGAATCCAAGAAAGCTTCGTAATTCTTGGCGTGCTCCTCACTGGCTGGTTGGATCCCGATTAGCTCCTGGTAGGTATCGTTCAGACCACGGAAGTCCTCCAACTCCTTCTTGGCCTGCACGAGTAGTGCCAGAATCTGTGGCTTCAGTTTCTCCTCCTGTTCCCCACCCGCCAAGCGACCATTAGCCTCCATTAGCCAGGAATGAGCCAAACGCGGATGCTGATCTCGTAGAGCCAGTCTGGCTATGTCCACGCAGTGCTCCGAGTTTAACTGGGTGCTAAGTGGCATACAAATCTTTAATGTGTTAAATACATTAAGTAGCTATTTCCCATTACCCATAGTCCACTCCATCCAAGATGCCACTGGCCAGGTCCTTGGCCTTCAGCCTATAGACATACTGCAACCTGAGAAGCCCATCTATGGCTCCCTCGAGTTCCTTTTTATCGGGCTTTAGTCGGAACTTTCGCAGGCGAGTCAGCGGCTCTAAAGGTGGAAAACCATTAGTACTACTTTTGAATCAAAGTGCTTTAGTCCTACTCTCGCCTGTTGAAGCCGCCATGAGATTCTCCACTCGCTGCCAGTCGACTGTGAGTCTCTTGTTCAGCAAATATTGGTTTATAGGACTTTCCAAATAGGCTGGACCCCACTCACGTGCCTCGTTCCTCTCGTTTTCGAACTCCCGCAGTCGGCTATCGAATGAATTGTGATAAATATTATAGCTTTAGGTGCGAATTTTCTTACGCTTTCAGAAAATCCAACTTTCCCTGACTATCGGATAGGAACTTCTGCATATGCAGCAGCATTTTCTGTTCGTAGCCAAACACTTTGGTCATCCCATGAATGGAGGAAAAGAACTCGGCTCCGGAAACGCAGGAGATCACTTGGTAAAAGACCAAGGACAGCACTGAAAGCACCGGGAACATCATTCTGTCTGAGATCCGCTCCAAAGAGCTCTTCGCTTCCAACTGATTGCGGCATTTGACCCCTCGGCATATCACAAAAGCCGCTAGAAGTTCAGAATCAGAGGGCTTAGTCGATCAGAAACCAGTTCTCACACGCACCCAAAGAAAGTGGCGGGTTCGTTGAGCCGGCAACTGGTTTTGCTTAGATAATAATTAATGTGGAAACGGCATAACACACAGATGTTAATGGCTAGATGGTCAGCTAAGACGATATACCAATTATATAATATATAAACAGAAGCCTTGTGATATAATAAAAAGTTGGGGCGATTTTCTCTATGCTTGATAAGTTAACTATTCCAGATAGAAGGTAAGATGCGTGGCAAATTAGCATTGAGGTGTCGCTAATGACCGAACAATTGTAATTACAATACAACTCAGAAGCTGTACTGCATTGCTAAAGATAGATTGTTGTGAGATGCAGAATGCCGATTTTCGTACACCTATTTGTGCTGATTTCTTGCCTAAGTCCCGGCATGGGTGAAAATAACGATACCCAGCCGCGCTTTGCAAGATCTGTAGTGAATATGGATGACCTGCTGAACCTGGAAGACGACCTGGTCACCAATTTGGAAGGGTTCGCGCAAAAGCTGTCCCAGAAAGCAAGAACCGTCAGATGGTGAGTCAAATTGGACACGTTTTTATGTCACGACTTGTATGATCTAAGGTTTGCCTAAAGGGGGATTCAACTGATGAGAGAACAGCTTGAAAGGATTAAAGAGGATAAATCCTTAGAGTTTTTGGACTCATTTAAGAGTTACTCTCTCATTCGACACATGCAGGCGGATTGGCTGATGTGGAAACAATACTTGGAACAGCCCGTGATACTTGGTTCGTCCTAACATCCTAATACGTTATAGTTATAAAGCAGTTCTTTCTGTAGATCAATTGAATTATAACGGGTCGGAAAATTTGAAGATGCCACTCGAACTTGACTTGTTGGACGCCGCAGAAGCAATTAGGAGAATGCAAGCTACTTACGGGTTGTTATCCAACGATATAGCCAAGGGTTTGCTAGATGGAGTTCAGTACAAGTAAGTACAGGACCCATATCCTTATAGATGTTATTTGAACCACATCAATCCAAGTTCAACCCTGGCACCTATCGATTGCCTGGCAATGGGGCACCACTTGATGAATCAATCGCGCTGGACGATGGCCGAGCAATGGATTCTGGCAGCTATTGAAGCCCAGGAGCGGAAAGGTCCTCGAACAGAGATGATGTTACTGAGCGGACCATCGAAATCAGAACTGTACAGAACACTGGCTAAAGTGCGGATCGGAAAGAGTAAGTTTAAAGATTAAGGATGGGATTAAGGATTAAGGATACGCTTTCGTAGGAAATGCAGAAGGAGCCCTGAAAGCCTATCGAGCTGCACTCAAGCACTCGCCCCCTGATCCGGAAATATTCCAAGAGTATCAACACCTGAAGTGGGGAGTTCTTACTTCATCAGCAGGCGAACCGATCGCCGAGGAACCCAATGATGACATCGAAGAAATGGAGCTGCCGCCATGTTGCAGTGGCCGTTGTGAAGGACCCCGAAAACTGAAGAGACTGTATTGCGTGTATAATTGTGCAACTGCTGCTTTTCTGCGCCTGGCGCCCATCAAAACGGAGATACTCTCGATTGACCCCTTCGTGGTTCTGCTGCACGACATGGTCTCCCCAAAGGAGGCTGCTCTGATCAGATCTTCAAGTAAAAGCACCATCTTTCCTTCCGAAACAGTCAACGCCGCAAACGACTTTGTTGTCAGCAAGTTCCGCACTTCAAAGTCAGTTTGGTTAGACAGGGATGCCAATGAGGCGACTGTGAAGCTCACTCAGCGTTTGGCGGATGCAACTGGCTTGGATGTGAAGCATTCGGAGCACTTTCAGGTCATCAACTATGGGATCGGAGGCGTCTTTGAAAGCCATTTTGACACAACCCTCGAGGACACGAATCGATTTGTTGGCGGATTTATTGACCGTATCGCAACAACTCTGTTCTATGTCAGTCTTCTGTTTATCTTATGTTTAGCTTATAATCTCTACAATTTTTCTGATTGCAGCTGAATGATGTGCCACAGGGCGGGGCCACCCATTTTCCAGGTCTAAATATCACTGTTTTTCCAAGGCTCGGAGCTGCTCTCTTCTGGTACAATTTGGACACCCAGGGTATGCTGCAAGTCCGAACAATGCACACCGGCTGCCCCGTTATCGTGGGCTCCAAGTGGGGTTCGTAGTCTCCGCATTCCCAGATACCCTTGTGTTCTATATCGTGGATTTCCCTTCACAGTGGTCAGCAAGTGGATAGACGACAAAGGGCAAGAGTTCAGGAGGCCCTGCATAAGATCGCGCTCGGACTCGAAGTATTTGCCATCAATAGAGAGGATTATTCTCTAGCCCTTGGCATTAATAATTAATAACTATTAGGAAAAGTGAAATATGTTCTACACCTTGAAACTGAGCTGAAACTAATGAGCGCATAAATTTGATTATGATTATCGGCACGGAAAATCGGTACAGAACGTGTTTTTCTCAGGCTCGGTGCACAGTGGGTTTCACCATGCCGTTCTGGAGACTGGTGCTTCTGGGAATGCCCTTTCTGGCCCTGGCTTTTGGCCACTTGCGCGAGATGCATGACCAACAGAGCCTTTCGCGATCGGTGGCGAATATGGATGACATGCTGCACATGGAGGACGATCTGGTCTCAAACGTGGAAAAGCTGGCGGAAGCGCTTTCCCGCAGAGCCAAGACCATTAAATGGTGAGTGCAGCGGTGGTTCAAGCAATCAAGGATTTCCTAATGCATTGCAAGCTCTAAAGGGGAGTCTTCAAGATGATGAAAAGGCGGCAGCAGTATAAGATATCCAGGGAGCCTTTTGCCAATCCGATTGACAGCTTTTCCCTCATACGTCACATGCAGTCCGACTGGTTGATGTGGCTCGTGTACTTGGAAAAGCCCGTTGGACAAGGTCAAGAATAAATGGCTAGAGATATGCCCTGCAACTTAACAGTCTGTTTCAACAGAGGAATTGGCCCATCTGCACTCAAGGATGCCCCTATTGCCGCGGTACTCGGATTTTGCAGATGCTGCCGAGGGAATTCGGAAAATGGCAGCCACCTACGAGATGCCAGCGTCAGATATAGCCAACGGCCTGCTAGATGGAGTGCAGTACAGGTGAGTTCTAGGGCAACTCCTATCAAGAGAAGGTACATCCCACCGATTTACTCAAAGCTCCCACCTGAAACCCATTGACTGCCTTGCCATGGGTCTGCATCTGGTGAAAGGCTCGCGTTGGCATGCTGCCGAGCAATGGATCAGTGCCGGCATAGAAGCCTATGATCGGAAAGGTTCTCAGGTCGAGATGGAGCTATTGAGGGGACCAGAACTGGCTGACTTGCACAGAGCACTGGCTCAAGTTCAAATGAAGCAGAGTGAGTAGGTGGTGCATTCACCAGGTGATTTGAGGGGCAAGAGTCTTCTGTTGTTGTAGAAAATCACGAGGGCGCTCTGCAAGCCTATCAGGTTGCCCTGAAACTGTCGCCCCATGACTCGGACATATTTGGGGAGTATCGGGTCCTGGAAAGAAGATATCTTACGTTGGCGGATGCGGGCATCGAACCGATGGAGCAGGATGAGGAATATAATGAATATGTGCTTCACCCGCCCTGTTGCAGCGCTCGCTGTGAAGTTGTGCGAAATCTGACCAGACTGTATTGTGTCTATAACCGCGTAACCTCCCCATTTCTGCAACTGGCGCCCATCAAAACGGAGATCCTGTCCCTTGACCCCTTCGTATTGCTCCTGCATGACATGGTCCGCCAAAAGGAGAGCACTCTCATCAGAGCTTCGAGCAAGGAGCACTTATTGCAGTCGGAAATAACCAACACAGATGCATCCAGTTCCGAGGACAATGTCGCCATATTCCGCACCTCAAAGTCTGTTTGGTATAGCAGTGACTTCAACGATACGACCAAGAAGATTACCGAGCGCTTGGCAGACGCCACTGGGCTGGACATGCACTTTACGGAGTACTTCCAGGTCATCAACTATGGGCTAGGCGGTTTCTTTGCGACGCATTTGGACATGTTGCTGTCGGACAAGACCAGGTTCAATGGAACCAGCGACCGCATTGCCACCACTGTGTTCTACGTTGGTATTCTGTGCTTTGTGCAGCACCTGGTTATGATCAATATCTTCTGCTCCAGCTCAATGGAGTTCGCCAGGGCGGCGCCACCCACTTCCCCCTCCTAAACCTCACGGTGTTCCCACAGCCAGGATCGGCCCTTTTCTGGTATAACCTGGACACGAAGGGCAACGATCAGAGGAGTACCATGCACACCGGCTGCCCGGTCATCGTGGGCTCCAAATGGGGTTCGTAGACTTGGAGCTATGATTGCTGGTTGTGTGCCCAAGCCCCTTCTTCCTTCGCAGTTATGACCAAGTGGGTTGGTGATCAGGGACAGGAGTTTACTCGGCCCTGTGTCCCTTCAAGTTCAAGCGCAAAGGAGTTGCCCTCAGCTGAGCGGCTTATCATTTAATAAGCATTTGTATTTCCTTTTATCTTAACAAGATGATAGCTACTGCTGATTGTCATCATTCGTGGTAGAGCGTAACCAGTGGATCAATAAAGATCACCTCTGCTTTCCTCGGCGCGAGCAGGGAGTAGAAAGTTTTCAACTTATCATAGAAGCAGTAGAGACTTCCGTTTTTCCGAAGCCTATACTGATTACTTTCCTTATTAGATTCTGCGATCTGGGGCGGATCGAGCAGAACATGAATGCTTAAGTGCTTTTGCAACCTGACCATCTGTGCGTTCCGTGGATGCGACTTCAGAGCAAACTCAATTGTTTCAAGCGCCAGAGGCCAGTTTTCTAGGGAGTGATTGAAAATTACATTACTCGTTGCAGATGACCAACTTACGCTGTTGCACATAGACTTCTGCCAGCTGCAAGTACAAGTCAGCGGCATTCAAGTTCGGAGCATGGAGAACTTGATCCTGATAACTAGTACCATCTAACATGGACAGCGCCACTTGAAGCCACTCCTTGGACTGGTCAAAGTCTTTCAAAGCCAAACAGTGACTTGCCAAGACAGCACAATCGCCGGGAGACATCTTGTAGCTGCGGCAAATAATTGCTAATTTATGAATTTAAATTCTAACTTGAAGCATACTTTGTGCGAATGCCCAACATTAGGCCATTTGCGATATCCTGCGGACGCATGTGATAGGCGCTCAATAGGTTGGAAATGCATTGGCATACTTCTGAGATATCTTTTTTGGTAGGCCAGTACTGCTTGATGGAAATTAGGGCTGCCAGTGCATCTGCAATACTGTTCTGCTTTAGGGTTTTTAACTTGCGACCCTTTTACTACCTCTTCCTGGATCTTCCTGTAGGAAGAGCTGCCAGTGCGTCCAGTCCGATTGCATGTGATGTATTAATGAGTAGCTGCCCACTGGACTAGATACAATGGCCAACTTGTCTCGTTCGTACTGAATGTGGTATGTGGCCAAGTCAACAAGAGCTCTGAGGAGTATTGATTAGACTTTAACTACCTAACGACTTGACTTACTCGTTGATTATGTCTAGCTTCGTCTCCAACGCGTTTATATAGTTGTCTAAATATTGCACTGCATTCTCCTGAATCTTTAAAATATTCATCACCTTGGAAATTGACAAGGAATGCAGATTGTCAGCGCTTGAATAAGACATATACACTGCGATTACTGCAGCTGAAAATATACAGACGGACTTCATGACCACAGTTCCAACTGATTATTGCTGAAGTAGCTGATATATGGTTTTGTGATTATTACTGCTCCATTACCATAACTAAAACACTTAAGCAAGTCCAATGGATTTTATTCTTGCACATTCTTACGCTCCACTTGTTATGCCCTTTACTTTGGTATAAAGATCCTCCACCTGAGTCCCACTAACCGGGCTTAGAACTTCGTAAAGCTCCTTTTCCTGGAGACTGAGTTTTGTATGACCATCAACGGTAACATTTAGCCAGTGCTCCGCATCCTTGTAGTTTTTCCTGTCGTAGGCATGCAGAGCGAATTGCAGGGACTCCAAAGGACTATTAGGCGAAACAAGGTAGTAACATTTTGTACAGATTCGTATCTTACCTAAACGCAAAATTTCCCGCGGTTTCGTCCTTGTGAAAATCCATTGCGCTCTGAATGGAATTCGCATATTCATCTTTCGTTGGAATCTCGGCCCACATGTCCTGAATCTCGGATACATACTCTGGGCACATTTTAGTGTGTTTCTGATGTCTTGATTGTGGATATCTATTTACCTGTGGCCAAAGGCTTTTCCATTAGCTTTCTCCAAGCCTGCCAATCGAAGTGCAAGTGATGAAGTAAGGAGAAGCTATTCAGAGGATTGCCCAGATACACTTCGGGATCTTTTCCCACATAAGCTAGCTCAGATTTTCGCTCATCTATATAACTGCCCAACGAAAAGTGTGGAGGAACCTTACATATTTGTCAACTATTTACCGATTCAAGGCACTAATGTGATCCTGAAGGTCCTCGGAGTAGCCTCTTAATTGAGTCTTGAATCGCGTATCGAGATCTAAATACACCTTCATCTTCATATTCGTAGAACAGGCCCATTTGGGCAAAATCAAAGCGACCAAGAGAGCCGCAAGTCCCGGAGAGCTCCACATGACTGAGGTGGAACCAAAGTACATTACTTGGAACATAAAATTAGGAGCAGTAGCGTGACAAACTAGATTTAATAAACCAGGAGCTGCAACTTAGATCAATTTGATATAGCTCACACTTATAATAATATTTTAAGCATTTTATGCTAGTTATTCTAAATGCTTGTCAAACACGGCCTCCTGAACAGTTGTTCCCGCTCATTAATCCACTTGGTCATGACTGCAAGAAAGATTAATTAACCTGAGCATAGGGATTCCATCTACACTATGTTACCCCATCTAGAACCCACGATGGTGGGGCACGCTGAGTGGGCTGTTCTGTTATCGCCAACGCCTTTGTGATCGAGATTGTACCACAGAAGTGCTGCGCCCTTCTCCGGAAACACCGAGAGTCCGAGATCCGGAAATGTTGTGGCGCCACCTTGGGGCACGTCACTCAGCTTCGGATGATTGGACAGGATTGAAAACATTCAAGGTGAGACATCTACGACTTACATAAAATACTGCAGTGGCGATGCGATCCGAAAAGTGGCCCATCTGCAGCAGATCATAGGTTATCAGGGCGAGCAACTTAGATACGAGTATTACTTACCTCTGTATCTTCTAGAAAGTCAAAGTGGGTGCCGTAGAACCCGCCTATGCCGTAGTTCAAAACCTGGAAGGGGTCCGCGTCGCGGACGTCGAAATTGGTCATGTCCTGTGACAGTTGGGACAATCTCTGGATCAGCTTGCTATTCTCAACCAGCCAGGTGCCCTTGGTGGTGCGGGCGGGATCCTCTTTATCGTTTCCGTCCTGAGTCACGGTAACGGCGCGGGCAAGACCGCCCTTAGCCAGGTTCCTGATGCTGAGAATGTCCTGGTCAGAGACCACATCGTGAAAGAGCACCACGTAGGGATCGAGGGACAGGAGTTCCATCTTCAGAGGGGCCAATCGAAGGAAATGCGAGGCTGTGGTGTTGTACAAGCAATGGAGCTTCGCGGTAGGTCGACATTCCGTGCTGCAGCAATTCCTATAGGCACCTTGAGTCTTCTTCTCCTTCTAAGTCGGAAAGGGTTCTGAGTACGAGTATAGTTCCATAATAAAACTACTCACCGTTTTGGCGGGCTCCTTGCCAATGCGAATATTCATCTTTAGCCGCGAGTGGGCTCTTTGCAGACTGACCTCTTCGGGCCAATTCTTGATGGCCAGTTGCAGCTCAGTCATGGCCAAAAATCGAGTACCTGTGTAGCTCTATAAGAACGGCCAATGCCTTGTACTCATTATCCTACCTAGTTCATCGAGGATCCGCACGAAAAGCTCGTAGAAGTCTGCCAAGGGCGTTCCGAGCTGGGAATAATAAAATTCGTTTTCTTCATCCGCCTCGTGCATCTTCAAACCCTCCATCAACCACTCCTTGGCACGACTGAAGTCCTTGTGGTTGACCATGTGCCTGGCCATCGTGAGACACTGCATTGCATCGAGCGAAGTACTTGGGGCATACCTTCAGGATTAGATGGAAGGTTAAACCTACTGGAGACCTACTTGTGATGGATGCTCTGAAGAACTCCCCTGGCCATTTGGGCAGTTGGCAGCGAATAGGTCCACTGGATGAGCCTCAAGCCACTGCTGGCCTCCTCAATGTCCTTTGATGTTGGCATTTGCGGGGCAATGGCAGTTATGTGCTTAACCAGAGCTGGAAAATCGCAGTTACTTTGAGCACCTCTGTGCACCGATATTACCTACTCTCCCACGGCTGCTGCTCCATCAACCACATCCAGTTGAGGTAGTCCGAGTGCAGGCGACGAGTGATCCGGAAAGCCCTAAAGGGATCGTCGGGAAGTTTCCTTTCCTCTTCGTACTCAGTCATGTTCAAATAGCTTTGTTGGTAAGAAATCATTTGCAGCCGCTTATGTTGCATCTTCTACTTACTATTCTATTGCATCAACTCTTTGCTGCAGGGCATTCGAAAAGTTCTGCAGGATGCCTAGTAGGTAGTGCTCATAGTCGATGAGTTTACCCAGGTCGTGTATCGATATAGCATAGTTATTTTCCGGTATTTTAGTTTTGCCATGACTCCTAACCAAAACTAGTAGGTACAAAATGGCCAGTGAACTGAGAAGTTTCGGCATCTCGCGGCAAACTGAGCGTGAAAACCAGGAGTATAGTTATTTATTGTTTTAGGTGGGCAAAATCGATTTGTTATGCTTTGATTTCACTTAACTCTCCAAGCCGGTGAAAAGATAACTTTTTCCAATAATATTTTTCGGTTCAGTTGTATGAGATCTCTGTTTTCTTAGCGGATGCCACACACTTTTCCCAGTTCAACCTTTTCTAATAGAAATGCCGAAAACACTGGCCAACTGTGTCAATGTTTGCTTAGCTGCACTTGCGTCTGTCTGCCATCGAAACTGTCTATCTGAAATCCAGAGCAGTTCTAAATGGAACACTGAACAGTCAAAATGTTCCGGCCAAGTTTTGTTTTATTGCTCTGCGCTATCTCAGTCAACGGAGAATACTACTCGGCTACAAGTCAACTGGAAAAACTACTCGACGTGGAGGCTTTTATGGTGGAGAAGTTCGATGAGTATCTTGAAAGGGCTCAGAAGGAACAGGATAACTTGAAGAGGTGCTGATATACATCAAAAATCGTTCAATCTCTATATACGTATATGTCTATTTTGCATCGCAGATTTATGGAGCAGATTGACGAGCAACTACAGGATCGTGACGACCTTGATGAATACTTTGGCAATCCGCTCAATGCCTTCATCACCATCAGCCGCCTCGTTTACGACTGGAAGTTCAATGTATTTGATCTTGTTCTTAACTCCAGTAACTTTGAGACCTACAGAAGCACCCTGAGTGATGCTTTCGAGAAGATCAATTTAACAGGACCCAACCAGGAGGATCTTCACGGAGCCTCTCGGGCTCTCCTCCGGCTGCAGAAAGTCTACCAACTAAACACGGACCACCTAGCCTCCGGAGTTCTCCTTCCCGGCGAGAGGAACCCACTGAACATCTCGTTGAGTGCAAGTGACTGCTTTGAGCTGGGCAAGAATCTCTGCCAGATAAAGGAGTACTCCTATGGATCCGAGTGGCTCTTGGAGGCCAGAAAGCGATTGCACGGCAACCCAACGGGCTTTGTATCACCCAATGTGAGCGATGTCGAGATCCTAGAGCAGCTTTCACCCGCCTTCAGTGGCTTGGGCAACCTAAAGTTAGCCCACAAATTAAATATGGAAATACTGGATAAGAAGCCTGATCATGAGGAGGCTCTCAAGAACAAGGTACTGTACGAAGGCCAATTGGCTAAGGCGCGAAATGTTATTCCCAGAAAGCAGGTGGATCCGCCTCAAACAGCAGAAGAAGTAAGTACACTCCCTACCAAAATTGTAACATACACTGTGACACCTTTCCCAAGGAGCCTAAGGAGAGCTTCCAGCTGTACACACAACTTTGTCGAGGAGAGCTCCATCAATCTCCTCGAGAGCAGCGGAATCTGAGGTGCTGGCTCAGCCACCAGGGAGTGCCCTACTATCGTCTGTCGCCCTTCAAGTTCGAGCAACTGAATTTGGATCCTTATGTCGCCCTCGTTCACCACGTGCTGTGGGACAGCGAAATGGAAATGATCATGCAACACGGCAGGGGCAGTATGGAGCGCTCAAAGGTGGGTCAATCCGAGAACTCCAAAATCGCTGATCGCCGGACCAGTCAAAACACCTGGCTGTGGTACGACGTGAATCCTTGGCTGTCCAGGATTAAACAGCGACTGGAGGATGTCACCGGACTGAGCACGGAAAGTGCGGAGCCCCTGCAGCTGCTCAACTACGGAATCGGCGGACAGTATGAGCCGCACTTTGACTTCGTGGAGGTGAGCTCATCCCGCATTTGTGACAACGCTTCTAAAGTTTTCTGTACATTTTGCAGGACGCGGAAAAGATTTTTGGCTGGCAGGATGACCGCCTGATGACTGCTATTTTCTACGTGAGTCCTTTCGCATTAACTGCAGACAAGAGTGTTAAAAAAAGCTTACAACTTTACTCAATGCCTTGTCATTAATGTTTACATCTTTCAGATAAATGATGTTGCTCTGGGCGGAGCCACTGCTTTTCCCTTCCTCCGATTGGCCGTTCCGCCTGAGAAGGGCAGCCTCTTAATGTGGAACAATCTACACAGTTCCTTGCACAAGGACTATCGCTCCAAGCATGCTGGTTGTCCCATCCTTCAAGGATCAAAGTGGAGTAAGTAAGCGAAAACGGCTTGAATACTGGTTTCCAATGCGAGATACTTTATCTTTCAGTTTGCACCGAATGGTTCCATGTGGGTGCTCAGGAGTTAAAGCGACCTTGTGGGTTGATGAGCGAGGAAGGAAAGTTTTCGCATTTGGAGGACAAGTAGTTAGAACAGTGAAATTATAATGTAACCGTTTCAAATAAATTCCAATATTAATCCAACACATAGCAAGAACTTTTTTATTCACCACAAAGGTTAAATGCCATTTGGCACACAAGCAAAGTTCAAACGAATGACTAAAAACTAACTCACCAGTTGCCAAGATAAATGAGAAATGAGGGCCTTGGCCTCAGTTTAGCCCCACGATTCAAGCCGGCCAGTCGATCGTTCTGCGGTCGGTTCCAAATACGATCCAATACATAATATAGAAAATATCTCTAGTCATTGACCCCAGGGCCAAAAGCAAAGCGAAGAACGACAAGACTGAAAAAAGGCCCGAAGACATCTCATTATGCAAATGCCGCTGGTTTTTAGTGTTTTGTGGCTGCTTCAGCTGTTTCTGTGGCCGGAATCCGTGGCTGGGGCTAACTCCGCCAGAGGAGAGGAGCAGCTGGAGGCTCTGCTGGCCACCGAGACGCAGCTCATCGATGGCTTGCGTGACTATATCGATCGATTGGAGCTGCAGCTGGAGGAGCTCCGAAGGGAGACCGCGGACATCGAGGAGATCCACAGCCAAGTGGACAGTGTGGAGGAGTACATGGGTAATCCGCTAAATGTCTTTGGCATTCTCAAGAGGTTCGAGAGTGTGTGGCCCAGACTGGAGCAGCAGGCGAATGCCACTCAGGAGCTGGGGTTCGCAGAAGGGTTCTCCGACAGGGACCTCACCCTGCCCAGCGACGAGGACTACGAGGAGTCCCTGAACCACCTGCTACATCTGCAATCCGTCTACGAATTGGACTCGAACAGCCTCTCCTCGGGCGTGGTGAATGGATTCAAGTTGGGGTGAGCCAGCAGGAGCCAGCAGCCCAGCAGCCCAGCAAATGGAAAAGCCAAAGCAATCAAAAATTGTTTGCATAATTTCAGCTCCTCCATGTCCTGGGGCGACTGCCTGGAAGTGGCTCGCAAGTCGCACTTTTCTGTGGCCAGATTCTGGCTAGAATCTGCTTTGGAGAAGCTGCCCTCCGCCGCCGAAAACTCCACGGAATCGCAGAGGGAACGGGAAAGCGGACGTGTGCACATCCTGGAGGCAGCTCTCAACATTGAATACCGCGCAGGTAGCTTTGCCCAGGATTAAGTGCCAAATCCCGCCCAGAATTCCAAATTCCGTTTCTTTTATTTTCCAGGGGAGCTGAACCGAGCCCTGGCAACTGCCGAGGAGCTCCTGCTGCTGCTACCAATGAGCCAAAGCATTCAAAAGGCCAAGAGAAAGATTGAAAAAGCCCTGGCCAAGAAGGAGCTGCCCAAGGGAAATGGGCAAAAGTCAAAGCCAAAGAAGCAAGTAAGTGGGTAAAAAAAAAACACAGAGATGCAGAAGCATTTTAGGCCGCAGGTTATGTCAATTCAAGAAGTCAGATAGTTAAAATATATTATTATTGTTCCACCTAGAAACCCAAGTCCACGGAGCAGCTGCTCATTGAGGAGCTGTGTCGCGGAGTAACACAGCAAGCCTCATCAGGAAGTCGCTACAACTACTGCCAGTTGGATGGAAGTTTGCCCTGGTTGCTCCTCCAGCCGTCCAGGTTGGAGCCCATGAGCTCTGATCCACATATAGTTTTGCACCACGATGTGCTGACGCCGAAGCAATCCGGTGAGCTGCTGGAGCTTATGGATGAGCAGGATGCAAAAGGAGTTAGCTATCAGGCGCTGAAGCTAGCCAAACTGGCGCAAAAGAAGCTGGCGAGGATTAGTGCTCACCTGGGACCTGAGACTGGGCACCTAGCTGCCTGGACAGGACGTCGCCATGGCCACGAGCACATCCCCAAATTGGAGGATAGCTCGGAGCTGCAGCATGCGGCACGTGTCATGTTGAACGTACGTGTTTTTCCAGCGCGCCCCAATTAAATGACTAATGTGCCACTAATTAATTTCCGATCCATGCCCCGCGGCATTCGCCGAATTCAGTTGCAGGCACCCGGAATGGGCGGAGCCGTGGTCTTTCCGCAACTAGAGCTCGCCATCAATGTCCCACGTGGCTCGCTCCTCCACTGGCACACACGCTTCGCCGCGGGCTCGTCATCCGAGTGGGACTACCGCAGTGGCCAGGCCATCTGCCCCGTGCTCCTGGGCGTTCAGTTGTGTAAGTTGCGGCGTGGATGGATTTGGCTGGCGTGCCGGGATTCAGTTTGCGGCCCAGTTGCACTTGCCGCATCCCAAAACATGCGGCCATCGCTTGTCAGTCGAACGTGCTGCGAGATACCCTGCAAGGGGTAGATTAGTTTTCCACTTGATAGTTATACGTGCACCAATAACGACATATGTTGTCTTTATTATAGACTTTAACTGTCTTTCAACTAACTGATAGCTTCAAGTTCGCGAGCTTCTTGGCGAACTACTTCGTGCAGGGTATCCCATAGTCGACACCCACCTACTCCTCGCTTATTTCCATTTTTATTCATCTCGATTTCGCTTGCAGCCGCGTGGACAGGACTCAATTGAAGTGGGCAGCGAGGCTGATGGGTTTCCATGGTTCCCGATCCGTGCGACATGTGCATTAATTGCCAGCTGGGGAATCAAATAAAGTTGACCTTGGCACTTGATTAAAAATCAGCCTTTTATTGCGTTGTTTCCCGTTGGGAGTGGCCATCCACCATCCACCAGTGTGAATGGGATGGGCAAACAAAAGCTGACATCCATAATTGTTTATTTGTTTGTCGTTAAGAGGAAGCCCGCTACCCAAACACTGGGCCATAAAACAAGTGTGTTGGCCGCCGCCGGAGAAGTCCGTAAATCAGCGGAGATTGCGGATCAAAACAGTGTGAGTTATGGTGGTCATTGCTCCAAATTGGCAGCCTGCGGGGGAATCATCCATAAACAATGGACTCATAGACCGCAAGCCAATATGAACTGTCGCAGCAATCGGCTGCGAAATGCTAATCGCTAAATAGCCGAACTGCAGTCTTAAATATCAAACAGCTAACTGCCAATTAGCCCGTATTAATATGCTGCTGGGTCTAATTTCCAGCTAAAGACAATGGGCCGACTCGAATCCAATCCGTATGCGAATCGAATCGAATCGAATCGAATTCAGAATTAAGAATTCGAAACGAGCGCGCCGGCCGATAAGCATCAGTAAATCAGTTAATCAGTAAATCAGCGCAAAACAAGCCATAAAACACAAAAAAGCCGGGCCGAAACTTCTCTTGCCAACTTCTCCGCATCGGAACATGCACAGAACTGGCTAATAAAACAGTTTTCTTCGAGCCATAGACCACCGCAACTAGTTTCGACATCGCACATGCGAAATTTATTCTCGCCGCCGGTTTTGCTCTCCGCATCTTTGGCTCCGGACGGCTCAGCTTGGAGATCTCGCGAAGATTGCCCCTCGATCAGTTCGCCACGAGCCGCGCACATCGGCGGACTTGCAGATCTGCAAGCAACCAGCGGATAAACAGCAAGGACACTTAGCAGAGCACCAACTAACTAACGGATATACAAAGGATATACAGGCAACCCACCATGCGTGGATTCGTGCTGCTGGTGGCACTGATCTGCTCACTGGGCCAGGGCTCCCTCGCCTCGGATTACTTTTCCTCCATTACGGGTCTGGAGGATCTCCTGCAAACGGAGCAGTATCTTGCCAGGGAGCTGAGGTCAAAGGTTAACGAAATCAAGGCTGCACTGCAGCAGCTGGAGGGGTGAGTGTGCTCATGTGAATCGAAAGTTCAGGACAGACGCTTCCATTTGACTACTGATACGACTAAGCGTTTTGGCTTCTGGGTTATACAACAGCGTAACCTGATAGCCAAGTTAACCCGCACAAATGCTGTCCAGTCACGTCTTGGCTGGATGGGATTAACCAGTTAGCGACAGCTTTTGGAGCAATAACTGGATAACACTTGAACACTGAAGCCTTTGACTTGGACTCCGATTAATTAGGCACACACTCTGAGTCCCGAGACGAAGTGGCCTCAGTTTCGGCGGGAATCCAATGATCTATCTGTGGCAATAAAAAGCCCACTAGGTTTGGCTAGAACAAGAAATTCGAAACAATGCTAATTTAATTACAACCTATGGTCGTTGGCAAAGCCATTAAAGTTTTACTACCCTTTGAAAACTAGTTTACCTGCCGCCGAAATCCAAAGTGCCAGACTTGATGTCTGCCATAAATTTGCGAATGCATATTTGTCGTTTGTCACCACAGATGTGCACCTGTCACCAATCCGCAGTAGTTGGACTAATCTGGAGTATTAGCCGCAGATTTTTGACCATTTCTGACAGTTGGCCGGTTGGGGGGATTGGTTATCGGGTTCTGGCTTTGTGCTTGGCATTTCGCTTTCGCTTTATTGGATTTCGCCCGTTGTTTCTTATCGCGGCGGCCATTAAAACTATTATGAATATAGAATCACACATAAATTAGAATTAATTAAGCCGGAATACGGGTACGAACATAAATCGAGCAAACTGGTAGGCAACTCTAGCCCGAACTCGTTCCATCCGCAGCGAGCTGTCCTCCATCGAAAAGGAGCACACCATGGCCGCCGCGGACTCGGAGAACTACCTGACCAACCCGGTGAATGTGTACCGCCTGATGAAGCGCCTCCACACAGACTGGTCCCTGATGGAGGGGCGAGTGCAGCTGTTGGCCGAGGAGATGAGTGAGTGCAGCCGAGCCCTTTCAGGGATTACTCCCACTAAGTAATGCCCACCTTCCCCCACTCAGGTTTCAATGCCACCAGGGAGTACGGCCTGAGCTACCCCAGCCAGGAGGACGTGGAGGGCGCTGCTCTGGCCCTCGTCCGCCTGCAGAGCACCTACAAACTGGACGTGGCCCAGGTGGCCCAGGGCATCCTGAATGGCGTCAAATACGGGTGAGACCCCAGGGTGGATTGGGTGGCGGAAGCGGAAGCGGATAAGCAATAACCAGCCAGGCTTAAAACACGGCTGTCCCAACTAATCCCAGTTCAATCGAGTGGCTACCCTATTACCTAACCCCGGTCGAAATCACTGTAGTACACCGACTACCGATTAAACTTGGGAAACTCAGCTTTCAAAGGGGCAATATTTCATTAAGCATATATATCAAAGCTTGATTTAAGTTATATATTATTAATCACAGCTGAAATGCTTTAAAGGTGCTTAGCTTGGGACAGCTTCCGAAAACTATAAACTAGGCACGTTTCCTGATTATAATCGTTTCGGATTAAATCAGCTCTTAATGCGTCAATGGAATTTGAATTTCGGAAAAAGCCCCATGACCAGCATACATTTTGAATAACTTATCCCACTTGGTCTTTTAAGGGTATTCTCTAGTTGAAAGTTGAAAGAACCTGTCAAAACTGCTGCAGCCTTTATTTTTAGCTCCGATATGAGCTGGCAGGACTGCTTCGAGCTGGGTCAACAACTCTTTGAAATGGAGGACTACAACAACACCAAGGTCTGGCTGCGGGAGTCGATGGAACGCTTGCGACGTCACAGCAGCCACGCCCACAGCCAGCAAGCGCCCACCAGCGGACCGGACACGCTTACCCTCAACAAAATGGAGGCGACGGCCAAGAGTTTGTTCCAACTGGGTGAGCAAAAAACAAGGCCAGTGCGGTTGGGGGATACTCATCTCATGGGCTTGACTCTTAGGCGATTTCGACACGGCTTTCGAGCTGAGCCAGCGAGTCCTCCAGTTCGATCCCAAACGCATAAGGAACTGGCATCTGGGCGACAAGGGAACGGCGCCAGCGGAGGACAGCGATGCTGTGTATCTGCCAAGGCACTCGGACTCCTACAGCGTAAGTTTAAGCTAAATAAAGGAGGAGCTAATGGTTTAGAGCCACTCCCACAGCTGTCGCAGGAGTTCGCCAAGTACGAGGAGGTGTGCCGCGGAGAGGTGCAGCCCATTGCTCGCCAGGAGCTGCGGTGTCGCTATAGCCGGGGAAGCCATCCATACCGCATACTGGCGCCACTGAAGCTGGAGGAGCACAGCCTGGATCCCTATGTGGCCAGCTTCCACGACATGCTGAGTCCGCGAAAGATCTCCCAGCTCCGGGAAATGGCTGTGCCGCGCATGCAGCGCTCCACAGTGAATCCCCGGCCCGGCGGACAGCACAAGAAGTCCGCTTTCCGGGTGAGCAAGAATGCGTGGCTGGCGTACGAGGCGCATCCCACGATGGCGGGCATGCTCCGCGACCTGAAGGACGCCACCGGGCTGGACACCACCTTCTGCGAGCAGCTCCAAGTGGCCAACTACGGCGTGGGTGGGCACTACGAGCCGCACTGGGACTTCTTTCGGGACCCCAGTCATTATCCGGCGGCGGAGGGCAACCGCATTGCCACTGCCATATTTTATGTGAGTCCTGACATGGCCGTAATCCCCGCCTGACTTGGTAAGAGCCCTTCTCTCGTCCTGTCCAGCTATCCGAGGTGGAGCAGGGCGGAGCCACCGCCTTCCCCTTCCTGGACTTCGCCGTGAAGCCGCAGCTGGGCAACGTGCTCTTCTGGTACAACCTGCACCGCTCCCTGGACAAGGACTACCGCACCAAGCACGCCGGCTGTCCAGTGCTCAAGGGCAGCAAGTGGAGTAAGTGTCCTGGAGGGATTGCTCCTACCCAATAACCAACTAAGTAGACAATCAATTTTAAATTCCAAGCCCAGTTGATGGCATTTTAAAACCAAAACACCGCTTTGACACCAAAGTGATTGTTAATTAAATTTTACAATATTATCATAAGTGAAATTAGGCCAGCAGCCATCTCGAGCTGACATACGCCACTAACGAGATTCATTTCGGCCCCATCTTTGCAGTTGGCAACGTGTGGATACACGAGGTGACCCAGACCTTCGCCCGACCCTGCGACGTTTTCCGGGATCACGAGGTGTCGCTGGAGTACGAGATAATCAAATAAAGTTCGTGATTAAGGCCAAGCTCGGCGTGTCTCATTTTGGCCGGAACAGACTCAGTGGGTTAAAGGTTTGAGTGCTCGCCAGAGTCACTCAAAGCACTCAAAACAAACGAAGCGAACTGGCTTGAGCTGAGCCAAAAGCCAGTTGCGTATTCATTTGCCGGCTTCATTTGCATAAACAAGTTCAGGGACAAAGTTTCACTGGGGGATTTGAATATTTTCGGGCCTGCAAGGTGACAACTGCTGCGAGCAGACAAGTGAAAGTAATTAGCGGAAAAGTTGAGACTGGCTGGCACTTTTCTGGGATTGAGTTACGATTCCCAGAAACACATTCCCAGAATAACTGTGGGCCCATGTAAGCGTACTTACACAACCCAGTTTGTTGAACCCACCTCACTTTGAGGGGTCCAATCAAGCAGAACTTGGCCCGCGGGCAGTTCTTTGACCAGAAACGCCGTTCCATTCGGCTGGAGCGCTGGAACTGCTCGATCGACACCCGCAGCTCGAAAACGCTTCATCACAAACGCCGCGAGCTTTTTGGCATCAGATCTTTCAAAGATCGGCGACTGAAAACAGTTCCTAACGAATCGCGGCTGGAACAACAAGCAAACCGCGATCTGCGTTCTGAAAGCCGGTTAGTGCGATGCTTTTGGCCCAGTGCGTCCTTCTCCTGGCCCTGCAGCTGTTATCCTGCCGCGGGGAGTTCTTCAGCTCCACCTCGGGTCTGGAGAAGCTGTTCGAAACGGAGGTCCTGCTCCTGGCAGAGCTGCAGCACTATGTGAATGAGATCAGCCAGCACGCGGAGGCGCTGCAGAGGTAAAGGGGATGGAAAGTGGGGCTATCCTTGAAGGATATTTTCCGAAAATAAGGTGCTGCTAGAAAATATAAGGATCAATAGAGCTGCAACTCCCAATTACGCAAGTTAGAGTCATACAATGTCTGGCAATTAATTTTAGTAAATATTTTAGCACAATTTACAAAAACATGTGTCGCTACTCCAATCATATAATTATGTTAATTTTATGAGAGTGGACTGAACTAAAAGAATTTCGCAGACTAATGACCATTCCTGCTACAGCGAGCGGCTTTTAAGAGGCCAGATTAAAATGGAAAGTTTTTCAGGTTCTAGCCGAGCCTACAACACACGGATTTCAGATGGCCAACTTAAATGAGATGCAAATGAGATGCGCGTTTCGCGCAGCAGCCACTTTTATTGGCCGAGCCCATCAGTTTTCCAGGCTCGCATTTTTCCAGTTGAAAAACTGGAATGAAAAACAATTGGCAATCGTTGTCAGCCGGCCAGCGACTGCGAATTTTTCATTTTAGGTGTCATCCACACAGCCGCCCACGTAAATCAAAAATTCAAAAATTCACGTCGGGTGGGCAGACTGCCAACTGCTGGCTTTTTGTTGGCCAATTAAAGCCTGGTGTGGGAGAGATGGCTCACCGAGATATTAAATTCTAGTTATTACAATTCTGCTGATTTGCGGCTCAAAACCGACCGGTTGCCATAAAAGTGAATGGCAACCCAGATTTGTCGCGATTGCAGACTTCAAACTGCCCATTTCAAACCGATGCCATTTGTTCGATGCGCCGGTGATATTTATTTTATGGACTGCTAATTTCTCCTATTTCTTGGCTTTATTCATTCGCGCCGGTTATCATACTAATTAATGGTCCACATAAAGCACAAATCGCCGGCCAACAACTTTCAGTAACTTGTTGAAATTTGCATTTCATTATCGTGCAAATCGATTGCTACCATCCCCGATCGGTATCTAAGAACAATTGCCTCTAGTTTATTCTGTTGTTCGAATATAAGTGTCATCGACTTGGCCGATTTCGGATCGTAAAATATGGTGCACTCATCGCCTTTGATATGCATATACACAGTATTATTGTGTTTATCACGCGCATTTGCAAACCGGATTCCTGGCCATCTAATAAGACACCGTTAACAAATTGTAAAGTATAATATTTATACGGACTTGAGTCGGCCGTCGTAAAAACTGGTTTTTCACCATCGAACCCTTATAAAAAATTGAATTGAATTGCGCTGGGCTTCTCCTTTTCATAACCCAAATAAAACAGATTTATTGGGAACAAGTGCCGCCACTCAATCATCAGCACAATGAAGATCCAACAAAGAAGTTTCGTCTTGCTTTAGATTCAAATTGTGGTGCGTTCCCAACTTAATGACTTCTAAATGAGTCGCAATGCAGGCGACAGGCGTGAAAATAAATGCGTTAATTATTCAAAACAGGTACCCACCGATAAAACTAAACTTGAATACATTTCTGGGCAGTACTGCTTATTCTTAGCCACTTTTTTATGGCTTAATTCTGAATAATGGTTTCAATCAGCTGCTGCTTGGCTTCATTAACACCAGGCAAAAGTTCTTAAAAGTTGACTAATTCACTAATGAAATACAAGTGAAGAAGTAGCTAAAAGTTGCCTAATCAAAGTAATCTAACTTCTGATCTTATTGATTGGCCGAACCCAAATATGCGTGTACTTCCCAATCCTTTCCGCTCGAATTTGTATCTTAAGAAACCCAATTAATTAGGCTTAAATCAAGTTGCGTTTTAGCAGTGTAGAAGCCGGAGACTTTAGGTTTTAGTTTGTCCAGCCCAATAGTTAATTTATGCAAATTCCTCCAGCTATGACGAGTCTGATTAATGATTACTTTGCTTATGATCTCAGTGAGATCGACGCCATCCGCGTGGAACACCTGAACGCCGCCGATGGAATCGATGACTACCTCAACAATCCGGTGAACGCGTTCCGGCTGATAAAGCGCCTTCACAGCGATTGGGAAACCTTCGAGGGCAGTGTTACCACGGATTCGAGTCGCTCAAGTGGGTTACTTCCTCCATCTGCATATAAACTGTGTGAGATATAATACGAATCCCCGCAGACTACCTTGATGCCATGGCCAGACTTAGGGGGAATCTGAGCTTTCCCTCGCAGGACGACTTCGTCGGATCGGCGATAGCGCTTACCCGACTCCAGCAGACCTATCAACTGGATGTGCCGGAACTGGCCAGTGGAATCCTGAATGGCGTCAAGTACGGGTGAGATATGACCACTCTTTGTTATGCACAAATGAGCCATAGCTCGCTGTTCAGATGAACGCAAGACGGGAAGCTAACAAAGTGTTTATTAAAACGATTCAAGATTAAAATCTCGGAGCTTTTGCGCTTTTAATTTGTTGTCATAGGAACACAAGGCAGCAATTATATTGTCTTAACTCGCTGCCATTTCATGTTGTGAATGTTAGCGAAACTAGTAAGCCAGGTGGAAAAGGCAGCTATTAAGCTGACGACTTGGCTGGCTTAACTTAATACTATATAATTTATACCATTGCTAATGATGTGTTGATGTGATCAACCCTTTAGTACGGCCATGTCCTGGCAGGACTGCTTTGTGCTCGGCCAGCACCTGTACGCCCTGCGAGACTACAACCACACGGTGCCGTGGCTGCAGCAGTCGATGCAGTTGCTCCGGGAACAGTCCTACGGGTCGGAGTCCGCCTCGCTGGACTTCATGGAGGCAGTGGTGGATTACCATCGGGAGATGGGTGCCCACGACAGTGCCCTGAGTCTGGTGAACCATGTGCTTGCCTTGGAGCCGGACCAGCGGAGTCACCTCCTGGAGGCTCGTCAGCAACTGGAGGAGCTAATCACGGACGGGGACAAGAACGGGCTGCTTCACCTGACCGCACGAAGACCCGGAGACTACCACGAGTCCCGGGAGTTTCGTATGTACGAGCAGGTGTGTCGCGGCGAGTTGGCTCCACTTCCTTCCAAGCAGCGAGATCTCAGGTGTCGCCTTTGGAGGAGTCGCTTGGGTTACGCTCCCTTTAAGTTGGAGGAGCTGCACCTGGATCCCCCAGTGGTGCAGCTGCACCAGGTGATTGGCTCCAAAGACGCGGAATCCCTGCAGCGAACAGCGAGGCCCAGAATAAAGAGATCCACAGTGTACTCCTTGGCAGGGAATGGAGACTCCACGGCAGCCGCCTTCCGCACCAGTCAAGGTGCCTCCTTCAACTACTCCAGGAACGCAGCAACCAAGCTACTGAGCCATCATGTGGGTGACTTCTCCGGCTTGAACATGGAGTACGCCGAGGATCTGCAGGTGGCCAACTACGGGATCGGTGGGCACTATGAGCCGCACTGGGACAGCTTTCCCGACAACCACGTTTACCAGGAAGGAGATCTGCATGGCAACCGAATCGCTACGGCCATTTACTACGTGAGTTTCTCGTAATTCCTTAATCTTTCAGAGAATTTCAACAAACATTTTCCAGCTATCCGATGTAGAAGCTGGTGGTGGAACCGCCTTTCCCTTTCTGCCACTGCTGGTGACCCCAGAAAGGGGCAGCCTTCTCTTTTGGTACAATCTGCATCCCTCTGGAGACCAGGACTTCCGCACCAAACACGCCGCATGTCCTGTTCTTCAGGGCAGCAAGTGGAGTAAGTGAATCTCTGAGCTGCAAGGCATCAGTTAGTAATGGATTCTTTGAACCAGTTGCCAATGTCTGGATTCGGGAGCGGAATCAGGATAACGTAAGGCCCTGCGATCTCGAAAGGGGCCAGGAGATCTCACTGCACTACAGGGACTTCGACTAGGACATTTACTCAGCAGCAATTAAACTAAGATATTAATTTATTTAATGTGTACATTACACTTAGTTTTGGTAACCTGCTGACTTGTAGCTGTCTGAGGTGAGGTGGCAAGGACGACGGAACTCCTGGTAGCCCGAGTGCACCCAAATGTTGCCAACTGCAATATGAACATGAAGTGATAAATACAATCTCTAGATGCTTTAGAAAGAGGAACTTCTCTCTGAATGTGTGCTTACTGCGCTTGGAACCCACGATGACTGGACAGCCGGCATGCAGAGTGCGCGCATCCACATCCAGGGATCGGTGGAGATTGTGCCACATGACCAGAGCTCCGCTGACAGGTGGCAGGAACACATTAAGCTTGGGGAAGACGGTGTAGCCACCTTGTTCCACATCAGAGAGCTGCAACAAAAGAAAGCTTGGAAAGATTCGGAAACTACTATGAAGAGCTGTAACCCACATAAAACATGCTGGTGGAGATGCGATCTCCCTTGAACTCCACCGGCAGATTCACGCCAAAGTAGTCCGGATGCGGTTCGTACTGCCCTCCAACTCCGTAGTTGGCCACCTGCATGTACTCGGCTCCGGCCATATCGAATCCAGACACGAGCTCATTGATCCGACCTACGGACTTCATCACCGCGGACTTGTAGTCCAGCCAGGTTTGCTGACTGACCCGCAAGTCCTTCACGGTGCTGTTGCCGCCATTTCCGGAAACAGCGGATCGAAACATCTGCATCTTCTCTGCCTCGTCGAGGATGGACAGAATCTGGTTGGCACTCAGCATGCCGTGATAGACATTGATATCCGGATCCAGGTGCACCGGCTCCACTTGGAGTGGCGCCAGGGTGAAGTAAGCATGGCGTTTTCCATCCAGGTAGCATTTCAGTGGATCAGCACTCCGCTCTTCTGGCAATCTTCTGCCCTGGCACAGCATCGTATAGTTGGCAAGCCAAGTGGGGTTTGTCTCCTGGTCAATCTTTCCTAGCGCCCTGCTCTCCAGATACTTTCGTGTCTGCTGGGCGGAATGTGTGGGCTGCGATTCAAGGATCTGATTCAGCAGTATTCCGGCTTTCTTCGGATTGCCCAACTCAAAGTTTGCCATGGATGCGTACTCCCGGATATCTGAAAGGTAGTGCTCCACATCCTCTTCCTTTTCCGGACTATTCTGCAGAAGCATAACAGCCACTTGAAGCCATTCCAGGGATCTCTGATACTCCCCAAGATCGAAGAGCTGCACTCCGATTTCGTAGCATTCACGCCATCGTAGATCCGAGCCGTAGCTAACACCATTGATGACTCCATCGGCCAAGTGCGAGGCCGTGAGATTGTAGACCGCCTGTAGCCTGGCCAAGCCCTTGACGGCTCCCTGGAGCTCGGATTGATCAGGGTAGCCGAAGACCGTGCCCAGAGCCTCCACGTGGGCACTAAACTCTTTTGGGTATTAAAAAGTTATTGGATGGGTTAAATATGGAACTACATAACTACCTTCTCTGGCGTCGTTGTCAACTATGGGTTCAAGGATCAGCGCATCCCAATCCTGAACCAAGCGCTTGATCAATCTGAAGGCGTGCAAAGGATGTCCGAGATACTCATCCAGTTTTGACTGGGTTGTTGCCCACTCATGTTCCCGTTTCAGTTGCTCCACATACCTATTGAATATTTCAGTTCCAAGTGCTATACTTTGGGATAATGGCGTAGTACCTGCGGTAGAAGTCAAGCTGCTTTTGCTGGGACTCCAGATACGAACGCGTGGCATTTAGGAGTTCTTCTTCCACTTGTGCCAGCTCATGCATACTATCCACCGATGAGTAGAACTCTCCATTCGCCACTCCAGCCCACATTATAAGCTGAAAAATCCCAAAATAAAGACACTGCCGATCCTTCATCTTGAACTGAGCACTTTCAACCAAGAGTCACAGATGTAGACTGGCTCCTATTCGGGTACCAACTGGGCCAAATAGACCCCTATGCCATTTGGAAACTGTCACGTATCCAGACCCAAAAACGCTGTGCAAACAAAGATGTTACATACAAACAGCCAAACAGCCAAACAGCCACACCAGCGATGCTAAGCAAACAACTCGGTCGATGCGACTCTCTAAATCTCTCCATCTCCTGCCCTCAAATTAGAAACACTGAGCAGGTGGATTTATATTCACAATAAAAGAATTTATTTGGAGTCTACCCTCTCATCCGTAATCCGTGAGACTGCAGACAAAGAAGCTACTGCTCACTTAGTACGAGATGCCGGTGTTGTCGCGGATCCAGTCGAGATATCCGGTGACGCGGCTGAAGACAGCAGGAGCACCAGACTGGCAGCCGTTGCCGGACACGAAGGATGTCACTCCGACCAGGCGGTTGCCGTCGTGTGTGACCAGGGGGCCACCGGAGTCGCCTCCGCAGGTGGACTTTCCGCCGTTGGTGCTGATGCAGATCATGTTGTCGTGGAGGGACCAGGTGCGGCTGCACTCACCCTGGGAAATGATCTGGACATCGACGGACTGGAGCCAGTCGGGCAGTGGGCTGCCATCGTAGGTGCCGCCCCATCCGGAGGCCACGGCCCACCATCCGGCGTAGTCGCGGTTGCGGTCGTTGAGGCTGGGCAGCTCCACCTTGTTGACCAGGTGCCAGAAGTCGACGTGCGGGGTGCGGATCAGGGAGATGTCGTTGTGCAGGTTGCCGCTGTTGTAGTGGTGGTGCTGGACGAAGTTTCCGCTGCCCACCCAGTGGGTGTACTGGGGCTGGTTGCGCAGACTGGCTCCGTAGTTGATGGTCACTCCGTTGGCTCCGCTGGTGCAGTGGGCGGCGGTCAGCACCCAGGTGTTGCCGATGATGGAGCCACCGCACCACCAGTTTCCGTTGCCGCTGAAGAGCAGACCCACGATGTAGGGCACCTTGCCCTCGTAGGCTGGGTAGCCGTTGGTGATGCGACCCTCGATCTTGAGGTCCTTCACCGGGGTGGGGACCAACTTCTGGTCCGGGGTAGGAATGGCAGTGGCGGCGGCCACGGCCAGAGCCAGGAATACGAACAGTTTCATCTTGGACAGGTCTTACAACTCATGGTTTTCCCACAACCTGAGCGCACTTTTATACTGAATAGAATGTCTTATCATCCTCAGGAAACGACGGCTGTATATTTTGTCCAGTTTTTGGCGTGATAAGTTTGCCGTCTGATAAGCGCGGAGGAGCGGATTCTATTGTAAATATATGGCGTGTACTTAGGATTTCAAGCTTGTCCATTATGTAACAACTTTGTTAAGTTGTCTGTAGGGTTTTGATATGATGCTTGAGTGATCGTAGTACGGACTTTGTATTGCAGTGCTGAATGAGTACAAAAATAATGAATGGAAGCCACTGAACTCCTGTAGTACATTCTTATCAGCAAATAAGTCACTTATTTATGGTTGCTGTTCGAGTAATTATCATTCATCGTACGTGTGGCCCAAACTCGATTAGAGGAGTCATCGATGAGGAAGACGTGCACATTTCAAACATAAACCTTTCAGATCGTCTGAGAATTTATCAAACTACGTTCTTTAAGTTTAAACTATTTACATATCTTAGTTTCCCGTTTAGCTTAGGAATGGAATTGTAGCCTCATAAGATAGACAGGTTATATACTGAATTGAAGTATCCTTAGGATCTGGTTTATACAAATGCCATTTGATATGATTTAGGATGATTGGCAATCTTTAATTCGATCTTATGGGAAACATCTTGGGATTATCGAGCTGATTACGGGCAACGGACTTATTCCCTTACTGTCACTCTGCAATTGGCAAGTAAAGACAATAATTCAAATCTTATCAGCCTGCTTAACTTGTCACGGCTGAAATCTGGCAAAATATATTAGCACCAAATATTACTAAAAAGCGACAAGAAGCCATAGTATTGATAAGGCGCTAGTATAAAAGCTAGGTCAGTTTCTGAAAAAGGCACAAGTTGCAAGACCTGCCAAGATGAAACTGCTCGTATTCCTAGCTCTGGCCGTGGCCGCCGCCACTGCCATTCCTACCCCGGACCAGAAGTTGGTCCCCACCCCGGTGAAGGACCTCAAGATCGAGGGTCGCATCACCAACGGCTACCCAGCCTACGAGGGCAAGGTGCCCTACATCGTGGGTCTGCTCTTCAGCGGCAACGGAAACTGGTGGTGCGGTGGCTCCATCATCGGCAACACCTGGGTGCTGACCGCCGCCCACTGCACCAGCGGAGCCAACGGAGTGACCATCAACTACGGAGCCAGTCTGCGCAACCAGCCCCAGTACACCCACTGGGTGGGCAGCGGAAACTTCGTCCAGCACCACCACTACAACAGCGGCAACCTGCACAACGACATCTCCCTGATCCGCACCCCGCACGTCGACTTCTGGCACCTGGTCAACAAGGTGGAGCTGCCCAGCCTCAACGACCGCAACCGCGACTACGCCGGATGGTGGGCCGTGGCCTCCGGATGGGGCGGCACCTACGATGGCAGCCCACTGCCCGACTGGCTCCAGTCCGTCGATGTCCAGATCATTTCCCAGGGTGAGTGCAGCCGCACCTGGTCCCTCCACGACAACATGATCTGCATCAGCACCAACGGCGGAAAGTCCACCTGCGGAGGCGACTCCGGTGGCCCCCTGGTCACACACGACGGCAACCGCCTGGTCGGAGTGACATCCTTCGTGTCCGGCAACGGCTGCCAGTCTGGTGCTCCTGCTGTCTTCAGCCGTGTCACCGGATACCTCGACTGGATCCGCGACAACACCGGCATCTCCTACTAAGAACATTGTGTTTTTTCCCGTTTTTTGGGAATTTTTAAATAAAGCAAAATAGAATGCTATTATCGAGATCCCCGACTACCATAACATCAGAAAAATTACAAAAAATTAAAAAAAAAAAAAATTTCCAAATTTAAATGCAGTTTTTTAGAGAATTGCTCCAGAAACATTTAGAGGTATGCCACTTCAAAATCCGATTAAGATTAGTTGAGTTATGGACTTTGGAACTTCAGCCTTGGGTCATTCTTGAATTTCTACAACATCATAACATCAGAAAAATTACAAAAAATTTAAAAAAAAAATAAAATTCTAAATTTAAATGCAGTTTTTTAGAGAATTGCTCCAGAAACATTTAGAGGCATGCCACTTCAAAATCCGATTAAGAATAGTTGAGTTATGGACTTTAGAACTTCAGTCTTGGGACACCTTTGAATTTCTACAACATCATAACATCAGAAAAATTACAAAAAATTTCAAAAAAAATAAAATTTTAAATTTGAATGCAGTTTCTTAGAGAATTGCTCCAGAAACATTTAGAGGTATGCCACTTCAAATTCCGATTAAGATTGGTTGAGTTATGGACTTTAGAACTTCAGTCTTGGGTCATTCTTGAATTTCTACAACATCATAACATCAGAAAAATTACAAAAAATTTCAAAAAAAATAAAATTCTAAATTTGAATGCAGTTTTTTAGAGAATTGCTCCAGAAACATTTAGAGGTATGCCACTTCAAATTCCGATTAAGATTGTTTGAGTTATGGACTTTAGAACTTCAGTCTTGGGTCATTCTTGAATTTCTACAACATCATAACATCAGAAAAATTACAAAAAATTTATAAAAAAATAAATTTCCAAATTTAAATGCAGTTTTTTAGAGAATTGCTCCAGAAACATTTAGAGGCATGCCACTTCAAAATCCGATTAAGAATCGTTGAGTTATGGACTTTAGAACTTCAGTCTTGGGACACCTTTGAATTTCTACAACATCATAACATCAGAAAAATTACAAAAAATTTAAAAAAAAATAAAATTCTAAATTTGAATGCAGTTTTTTAGAGAATTGCTCCAGAAACATTTAGAGGTATGCCACTTCAAAATCCGATTAAGATTGGTTGAGTTATGGACTTTAGAACTTCAGTCTTGGGACACCTTTGAATTTCTACAACATCATAACATCAGAAAAATTACAAAAAATTAAAAAAAAATAAAATTTTAAATTTGAATGCAGTTTCTTAGAGAATTGCTCCAGAAACATTTAGAGGTATGCCACTTCAAATTCCGATTAAGATTGGTTGAGTTATGGACTTTAGAACTTCAGTCTTGGGTCATTCTTGAATTTCTACAACATCATACATAACATCAGAAAAATTACAACAAATTTATAAAAAAATAAATTTCCAAATTTAAATGCAGTTTTTTAGAGAATTGCTCCAGAAACATTTAGAGGTATGCCACTTCAAAATCCGATTAGGATATTTTGAGTTATGCACTTTAGAACTTCAGTCTTGGGTCATTCTTGAATTTCTACAACATCATAACATCAGAAAAATTACAAAAAATTTCAAAAAAAATAAAATTTTAAATTTGAATGCAGTTTCTTAGAGAATTGCTCCAGAAACATTTAGAGGTATGCCACTTCAAATTCCGATTAAGATTGGTTGAGTTATGGACTTTAGAACTTCAGTCTTGGGACACCTTTGAATTTCTATAACATCATAACATCAGAAAAATTACAAAAAATTAAAAAAAAAATAAAATTTTAAATTTGAATGCAGTTTCTTAGAGAATTGCTCCAGAAACATTTAGAGGTATGCCACTTCAAATTCCGATTAAGATTGTTTGAGTTATGGACTTTAGAACTTCAGTCTTGGGTCATTCTTGAATTTCTACAACATCATAACATCAGAAAAATTACAAAAAATTTAAAAAAAAATAAAATTCTAAATTTGAATGCAGTTTTTTAGAGAATTGCTCCAGAAACATTTAGAGGTATGCCACTTTAAAATCCGATTAAGATTGGTTGAGTTATGGACTTTAGAACTTCAGTCTTGGGTCATTCTTGAATTTCTACAACATCATAACATCAGAAAAATTACAAAAAATTTCAAAAAAAATAAAATTCTAAATTTGAATGAAGTTTTTTAGAGAATTGCTCCAGAAACATTTAGAGGTATGCCACTTCAAATTCCGATTAAGATTGTTTGAGTTATGGACTTTAGAACTTCAGTCTTGGGTCATTCTTGAATTTCTACAACATCATACATAACATCAGAAAAATTACAACAAATTTATAAAAAAATAAATTTCCAAATTTAAATGCAGTTTTTTAGAGAATTGCTCCAGAAACATTTAGAGGTATGCCACTTCAAAATCCGATTAGGATATTTTGAGTTATGCACTTTAGAACTTCAGTCTTGGGTCATTCTTGAATTTCTACAACATCATAACATCAGAAAAATTACAACAAATTTCAAAAAAAATAAAATTTTAAATTTGAATGCAGTTTCTTAGAGAATTGCTCCAGAAGCATTTAGAGGTATGCCACTTCAAATTCCGATTAAGATTGGTTGAGTTATGGACTTTAGAACTTCAGTCTTGGGACACCTTTGAATTTCTATAACATCATAACATCAGAAAAATTACAAAAAATTTAAAAAAAAATAAAATTTTAAATTTGAATGCAGTTTCTTAGAGAATTGCTCCAGAAACATTTAGAGGTACGCCACTTCAAATTCCGATTAAGATTGTTTGAGTTATGGACTTTAGAACTTCAGTCTTGGGTCATTCTTGAATTTCTACAACATCATAACATCAGAAAAATTACAAAAAATTTCAAAAAAAATAAAATTTTAAATTTGAATGCAGTTTCTTAGAGAATTGCTCCAGAAACATTTAGAGGTATGCCACTTCGAATTCCGATTAAGATTGTTTGAGTTATGGACTTTAGAACTTCAGTCTTGGGTCATTCTTGAATTTCTACAACATCATAACATCAGAAAAATTACAAAAAATTTATAAAAAAATAAATTTCCAAATTTAAATGCAGTTTTTTAGAGAATTGCTCCAGAAACATTTAGAGGTATGCCACTTCAAAATCCGATTAGGATATTTTGAGTTATGGACTTTAGAACTTCAGTCTTGGGTCATTCTTGAATTTCTACAACATCATAACATCAGAAAAATTACAAAAAATTTCCAAAAAAATAAAATTTTAAATTTTAATGCAGTTTCTTAGAGAATTGCTCCAGAAACATTTAGAGGTATGCCACTTCAAATTCCGATTAAGATTGTTTGAGTTATGGACT